TTCGATTTTCGCAGTCCCGGAATGCTGTTTCCTATGTTGAGGGTAAAGTTTTCATTATGATCACCTCTTTATTTTGTAAAGTAATATAAATATTATGTTCATTTAATTGTCGACCTCCAGTCTACTGTCTAGTGGTACTGAAATATGTATACCTCATACCTCATACCTATTATAGTGAGGGACAATAAGCATAAATATAGAACAATCTGGGAACTAATTTGCTATCTACTTTTAAAATTGTTTGGGTGGTTCCTGGGACTATGGAGAACACATTCCCGCACGAGGGCGTTGGCAATAAAAATGCAAAAGGGTCAGCCAAACGTATTCTTATAATTGGTGGAAATATGTTTTATTATATTGATAAGTACTGATAGTTGGATAATATCCGGTTGGAAGAGACAACCGGATATTATCAAACTTTCAGTATTTCAATCATGAGACTAATAAACAGCGAACTACTCCATCACTTGATATATTGATAAGGTTGAACTATTTGGATTAACTAATTCTAAGATATGTGGTATTTTATAGAGCAGTATGGCGACAAAGTGATGTTCAGCTATCACATTTTCTTAATGAATTAGCTCTCAAATGATGCACCGCGAATATGCTGCGTACATTTGAGTGAAAAAGCATTAGAGAAAGTCAAATACTAATTGTTCGGATAGGTTAGCAACATGAACAAAGTTGCAGATGGAGAAATTTACGGTCCACGTTGAGTTTTTTCCCCAAAATAACCAACACACCCTCCAATTTTCACATGAATTGTAGGTTGTGTTTCTCATTAAGTCAATATAATATTACACTTTCCTGCACGGAAATGCTTGTGGCAAATTAGTTCCCAGAAAATGCTCATACTGCCCCAACTGCTCCAACTACCATCACATATCATAGAAAATTGTAAAACTGTAAATGTGAAAATGTCGTAAGTCGCACGACTCTGCTTGTTGGTTTGTCGTTGAAAGACAATGCTTACAACAATTTTATGAAATTGATTTCTATTGTTATATTTATAACTAAGTGTTCACAGTTCTATTCGATTTTAGCGTCAAACACTATTTTAACTTTCTAAGATTGAGTCAACTAAAATTTTGTTCACTTCTGTACTATGTTCACTAAACTGTTAATGTTTGCCTCTTGTATTATACTGAAGGGAGGTGTAACCTATCACAAATCATAAGTATGTTACAAAGTAGGTTTAAATATTTGTACCTGTACTTTACAATAGGTGATTGATAAAATCAATTCCCCATTCATGCTCAAAAGAATGGAGGGATTACGATGTCCCCCTGTTTTGAAGTTTTTAGTGTTCAGTGTTGCCTCAGTAACATCCCCCTCTCCGAATTGGTTGATATTGGGGTATGGGCAGTTTAACATTGTTCTTCGTAATTGAGTTGTGCGAATGTGGCTGATTGAATTGTCCAATAAATGTAATGAGCGATCACAACGAAATGGATTATATTGTATATTTGATCAAGCTGCATATTTAGTCAGATGTTTTGAATTGTGTTGAAATATCTCAATGTGCAGTGTTATGCTTCGTTCCATTACTTAGTACCTCTCTTAGTGCCTCACTTAGTGCCTCACTTAGTGCCTCACTTTATAGTGCCTCACTTAGTGCCTCACTTTATAGTGCCTCACTTAGTGCCTCACTTTATAGTGCATTACTTTATAGTGCCTTACTTTATAGTGCCTCACTTAGTGCCTCACTTAGTGCCTCACTTAGTGCCTCACTTAGTGCCTCACTTAGTGCCTCATTAAGTGCCTCACAATACATAACATGTGCTTTCTAGTTTCTACCTCATGTAGCTGTTAATAATTGAATATGATGTCGCTGTATTACATTATTAATCTATTAAGGTGCAACTTTATTAATTTGTGGGTATCTTGAAGATGGTGTTGCCATTCCCGCGAGGGTTGCTGTATCCCCCGTAATCCGTATTAACGTACAATTTGTATTAAATAATGGCCATGTCAGAGTTGGTTGTCAGGGGCAACCTAATTGCAAGTAGTTTACCTTATTGTATTAGCCTACTGTCAGCGTGTTAACCAGATGGAGACGACCGCTTTTTACCCCCAAATCACCGTCAGACCCCTTAGTTCTTGTGTAGTTGAGGAGTAGTATTTAGGGCTCTAGTTTCACCTGTTTACATGGTGAACAGTTGCTAACGGAGTTAGTGGTTGTGAGTGTTCATTAGCCTGCTGCAATCACAAGTCGATTAGTCATCAAGTTTGAAATGTTGTGAGCTTTTCAGTTTTCATTATTCGAGAAACGTTTATTGTTCTTGTTTGTTGGTTCTTGGAATGTTGGTTTGTGTAGTAAAATGATTGTTTTTTAATTGATATTCACAATTATTTTCCGTACGAAATTGATAGCCTGCAAAGTGGTGAGGCGGGTTTCATAAGTTCCGACAGTTTCCAGCTTCAATGAATATTGATTTATGTATATTGTATAAGCATTAAATTTAACCGTTAACACTGCATATAGTCTGCTTTTACACAGTAGTGGTCTTAATCTCACGCGGATCAAACTTGTTAATAGGGCACGTACCTTGCAGCTGATGATATGGTGTATTCTGCAGCTGTGTAAGAAGAAACAATCCAATATCTATTAATAATTAAGAATCGTGTAATAATAAATAAGCAATCTTAAAATTAGAATAAGCGATCTTAGAATAAAATCCTGCACAAATGAATAATTAATGAATCGTCTGGCGAAGACTAGTACATAGAACCTTAACCGTCACTGGCGTTATAATATTTTTAGGTTCATTTCATTGACCAGTTACTGTTGGAAATATAAAAGTGTAATATGTACAAAGAAAGGTTAGGAATATAGGATCGTAGGATCTGTTTATGAATATTTAGAAAGGTTAGGAATATTATAGGATCGTAGGATCTGTACAGGAATAATGAAATATTTAGAATGGTTTACATACCAACATTTAATGAGTTATCGGTTTTGAAATATTTAGAATGGTTTACATACCAATATTTAATGAGTTATCGGTTTTGTCTAACCTCGACTAAATGCATGCAACTCATTCAGACTAATAGTAATAATAGTGATAATGGGACACCTCACTACGTCTACATTAACTGCTGCCAGTTCAAACCTCCAAGCCGGGTGGTGGTGGAGGCAGGACGCAGTTCGACAGAACACTAAGCAGACTGAAGACTCACTGTGACCGGGTTTGCCGCCACATAATGGTCCTGTTCTATTATTATACCTCCGCAATCTTCCCAGTCACGCGACCTGTGTGACCTGCATTTTTTGGAGGTGAGGCAGTGCTTTAATCATCACAGCTAACCAATCGGGAATGAAAATTGAAGCGTCAAATCGGGAATTTCCGCTTCAAAAATAAACACCCGCAATTCCGTTTATGGAAATTATTGAGCGGCTTGCTAGCAGGAGTAGCCGGATATTGGCGGTGCTATGCCTGGTAAGCACCGGATATACGGATTATTATGATAATTGGAGCGCTCGTGCGTCATCTCCATTAAACGGCACTTGTTCGGCAACCTACTCCGCAAGCAGCCTCCTCCGCACGCAGCTTACTCCGCTCATAAGTGAATAATAAATGCGCGTTTATGCGGCGGTAAACGGCAAAATCGATCATTATATTGGATGAAAAACAGAGGAAATGGAGGAGTGTCAGTGCCGTTAAATCTGGTCCATATATTCTGAAGATCTTGAAAACGGTTTAAAATTAAAAACCACCATCTTTTCAGTAAATTGGATAACATGAAGATGTTAGCTTTTACTTTCATTATTTTATTACTATTAATAAGAAGCACCGTCCTGCTCCGTCCTGCTCCGTGCTGGGCGGTGAGCTTCTCTCCGGACTTATAACGTACCGTGAAATTGTTTAACACAGCAATTAAATTTCCGTAGCACCAGTTTTTGTGGCACCGGTTTCCCTAATCATAGATCGCTAAGTCTTTTAGCAAACTCGTTTGCAGCATAATGCAAGTAAAAGACCTGGAGATTCAATAGAAGCTTACATGATCTATTGAGAGTTACGTATTCTGAAGGATAGGACTCCTGCTTACCTACCTCTATACTCTATTATTTAGTTTTACGTCCAGCAGAGTTCAGGCTGTGTTATTTCGTTATAAGTCCTCATCCTATACACTATAGCATCAGTTATTCTAAAGAACATATCCAGAGTCGTGAACTTAAGAAGCAGGGTAATCCTACTAATCGTTAATACACACTACATAATTTAGGCGAGCTTCAATTTGAGGGATAGTTTATCGCTATTTCACGAAACACACTTGACACTGTATAATTTAGGCGAGCTTCAATTTGAGGGATAGTTTATTGCTATTTCACGAAACACATTGCACAATTTAGGACAGCTTCAATTTGAATGCCAGTTTATTGTTATAATTACACAAAACAAGTCAATAATTTAGGCTAACTTCAATTTTAACGTTACTTTATCGTTATTATTGCTCGGTACATCAATTTAGACTAGCTTTAATTTGAACGGATTTATTATTCACATGATCTTGTGACATGACCCAACCCTAACAGTAATTTGATTCATACTCAGTATCTCTCGTAGTAACTTTATGATTAGAACTAACTTAAAATGTTCGTTAATTATCACATTCCATCTTAATTAATAACAATATGTTGCATAACACCTGTACCAGCATTGTTATAGATTACACATAATTCGGGGGTTGTGCAAGTTTGGCAATCCAATCATATTGTTCATGTTTGTTATCTGATGTTTGTATGATGATACGGACTACTGTAGCTAGTTTTATACAAAACTATTCAACTCGTATAGTATGCTGTTTTCTTATACTAATGACAATCCATTTAATTGGTCTCTTGAATAGCATATTATCACTTATTTGATATTTTGGTGTTGGTAAATAAGTAAATATGCGATGACTCATGCGATTATTGCTTCTTAAGAATCCATCTCACATTCTTTAGCTGACACTGGTTATAATCACATAACTCCACATTCTTGCTAATCCAGGAGGCAAGTAACTGAACATGTCAGGACCCAACCTTCCCAAACTACAAGATGCTATAAACCTCAGAACTACCGACACTAGTATAATCACTCACTATCAGATACAGGTGACTAAATCTGACTAATTGGGTTTTAAGTAGTGCGATGAGTAACTATTAATCATTAATTATACCATAAATTTAGCCAAAATGTTTACTATGTTCTTACATCTTTAAATATTTATGAATTTTAGCAACTTCTAACTAAGTAACTAACTGTAAGTCCTGATCCATTAAAAAAAGATATAATAAGCTGCTTATATGGTTATTCAGCCACTTATTTGACTATGTATCATAAAGATATAATAAACTGTTTATTTGATTATTCAGCCACTTATTTGACTATGTATCATAAAGATATAATAAGCTGCTTATTTGATTATTCAGCCACTTATTTGACTATGTATCATAAAGATATAATAAGCTGCTTATTCGATTATTCAGCCACTTATTTGACTATGTATCATAAAGATATAATAAGCCACTGATTTGACTATGTATCATAAAGATATAATAAGCTGCTTATTTGATTATTCAGCCTCTTATTTGACTATCATAAAGATATAATAAGCTGCTTATTTGATTATTCAGCCTCTTATTTGACTATAATGTATAATAATACATGATAACCCCAGAGTGCTCTGGAACTAAGGTTGGACTCTTTTGATGGAGATCCTCGAACTGTTCACTGCAGTGTTAGCAGTCTCCCTAGTCCAGTCAGAAACTCTTTTTACTCGGGTAATTATAATAGTTGTTTAATGGAGTAATTACCTCATTAGTTAATTATTGTCTACTTATAGCGTCATGTAAATATCATTTTAACATTTGTAAGCGGCCATCTACTTAGGACGTCCGGCAAATAGGGTGGGGGTGGTTTTGAAATTTCGGACAAATCCGAACAAGGGGGGGGGGTGGTTTCTGAAATTAATCCGGACGTCCGGAAATTTTGGCAGAATTAACGAAAAAGTCCCATTTATTTCAACTCTTTGACACTAATTACTTTGTAAGTTTAGATCCCTGTATTTTGAACGAGAATTCGATTCCCAGAGCAGCTTATGAGAGCCGAGTTTTATTCGTACTCTTAAAAGTAGCTGGAGATCCGGATGTCCGGGGGAGGGGGGGGGGGTGGTTTTGAAAATTCGGACACACCCGGACAGGGGGAGGGTGGTGGTCGGCGGACCTCCTAAGTAGATGGCCCCTTACACCGATAACTCCAGATCCAGGCAATATATTGCTAGCAGAGAATATCAGACGGAACAGTAAATACCTGACCCAGCTTTTGACATGCAGAGTTAAATCCGCTCCTATTGGGCTCCTACATCCTACCATGTTAGTGTGATGTGTTTAACTTTCACTTTCACTTTCTGTTATAACAGCTCCTACTGAGCCCATCTATCCTACATTGTTAGTGTGAGCTGTGTCACTTTCACTTTCTCTTTCTGTTATTACAGCATCTATTGGGCTCATACATCCTACCATATTAAAGTGAGCTGTTTTAATTTCACTTTCACTTTCTGTTACAACACTGAAAGCTCTTACCATTCTTTCCGATGTAGTTTTTACATAACTCATCTGCGAAATTCCGACAGGGGTTTGAGAACAAAAGCTCAAGCAACTACTGGCGACACTACTCGAGGTGCAATAAGCGCCAAGCCCAGAACAGCAGCTGTAACTGTCAGTGCTGTTCCTGCAACAGAGCCCGTTACATCCCACCGAACAGAGGAGCGTAAAACAAAAAAATCTGCTCAGAATCAGCGATTCATGATCATTCGAACAGCTCCAGCAAAAACAAACAAAGGGCCTCCTGTAGAGTCTAATCGTAAAACTAAGAGGGCCAATTCGGCCAAGTTTCAGGAGCCGCTAAGAGCCCGGTCTTCAGTGCGACGTAGATCAGAAAGTTTCACCACCCGCACCAGGACTACCTCAGAACTGGGCACTAACAATCGGTCTTTTAGTGCGGAGCCCCGGAGAAATGGTGTTTCACTGAACTCCAAACGTGAACAAAACATAGCGTGGTCCCGGACTAAAGGGAGTCAGGGGTTGTCCTTGTCTAATATCTGCAGACCCCTGCCGATTTCTTATAACAACTTTCTTGTACAAACCACATCTTCAACTTGATTGAGAGATTATGGCACTATTGTTTGTTGTTGATATTATTTTGTAATTCCACTGAAAGCTAAAATCATTTTATTTTGTAACTACTGTTGAACATGGCTCTTACTAAATGGCCCAAAAATTATCACGTATCTTGGGTTGTTACGGTTTTGCAGCCGAACAAAATTGTTTTACAGAAGTCCCAATCCCGACCATAACCTTTTCCATTGTTAATGGACTAACGCGCCGCGCTACTTCGTAGCACTAGCAGTTGCCTCGGCCGGGGCGCGATGAGATTGCGACCGTTCTGCATTCTGTGTAAATTTGGGGCCATCTACTTTGTACTTAGGACGTACGTACGTCCAGCAAATAGGGACAAGGGAGGGGTGGTTTTGGAATTTCGGACAAATCCGGGGAGGGGGATCGTTTCTGAAAATCCGGACGTCCGGAAACTTTGGCAGAAGTATAAACGAAAAAACCAATTTATTTCAACTCTTTGACACTAATTTGTAATTACTCTGTAACATGTAAGTTTAGATCCCTGTAATATTTTGAAAGCGAACTTAAATGTACTTAAATGTAACTGTGCTAAACTTGTTCAACACTAAATCAATGTATTATTGATTATTGCGTATTTTAAGTAACTACACATTTTATTAACAATGTTTACATAGCCATGTGTATACGCGTACTGCGTGACGCGCTTGTTTCACGAGTAGAATGCCGCCTTCAGCGGTCGCGCGCTACTGCAAGCGAAAGGGCTCTCATGGTTAGAGCAATTAACAATGAATTTGAATTGGTTTATTTGTACTTTGGAGAACTTCGACGCGCCGCGCAAACTATCATTCTTACTTCACATCGACTAGATCGTTGCTCTGTTAGTTCGCAGGGCAACGATCTGGAAGGATTGACGTCGTCAATCAAATATGTACTCTGATCTCAAGAGTAACCGAAAAACCGGACGTCCGGGGGAGGGGTGGTTTTAGAAAATTCGGACACCCGGACAAAGGGAAGGGTTGTATCACGTTGTGACCCCCACGGTCGTTTCACTATGCTGTAGAGTTTCACTATGCTGTAGAGTTTCTACGAGCACTCGTGCGCGGCGGGTCATACAACGTATGACAAGGGATCAGGGGGTGGTTTGTAGTTTTACAACCTACCAGGACGCGCGCGCCGAGTTGGACTCGTCAACTGTCCAATATTTGGAACAAATATTTTACGAGTATCACCCGTTAAGGGGCGCTCCTACTAAATCGCTCGCCCAAATTTTTAGAATATTCTTGTGAAAAGGCCCTTTGGGTATGAAATTGATCCAAATTGATGTATTTTTGGACGCTGATTCCGAATAACCCCCCATGACGTAGGGTAAAAATGCTTTCCTAGAGAGTTATGGGCAAAAAACCGTTTTGGTCACGTGACAGGCTAGTAAAACATGAATTCGATTGTTTAGGGGCTTAGGGCTCGGGTTAGGGTTAGGGTTGTGGTAAGGGTTATGGATAGCTTCGGGGTTGTGGTTAGGGTTAGGGTTGGGATTACGGTTTATGTAAAACCGTTTTGTACGGCTGCAAAACCATAAAAACCAAAGTCACGTGGAATTTTTGGGCGAGCGAATTAGTAAAAGCCGTTAAGGGGTGGTCTGAAAATTTGCGATTTTGGCGAACGTTTTAATATGGCCCCTTTGTAAATAATATGGCCCTTTTGTAATTAATGCTGATTTTGATTTAATGGTAAGCTATTTAAAGTTTTCACATAGCCATGTCATGTGCCCATGTGTCTACGCGTGCTGCGTGACGCGCGTTCGGCGGTCGCGCGCAATTAACTGCAAGTGAGAGGGCTCTGGTCAGAGCAATTTAAAATTAAGATCTAGGCATGCAAAAAGTTGTACTTCAAATCTTTATATATTATCTTCACGATTACTTTAAAACCAAAACTAACTCGAATCCTAAAGCATAAACAGCTTAATTATCGTTTAACAAGCCTGTCACGTGCGCGCGTTTGACAAAAATTGTTATTTGCTCATAACTGGTAAAAATAATTTCATGCTATTTATGTAATGCTAATTATGTAATTGTTTTTATGGGGTACGATTTCCTATGATATTGGAGTTATTGAATTATGTAATAGGTCTTATTCGAAATCAGCGTAAAAAATACATCGAGGGCCAAAAGTTAGTATACATACGTACGTTGGCCTTTATAGCTCAGTCACTGAGTGCCTGATTGAAATAATTCTTTCTGGTGTTACTCACTATCACCACTCATTCGAGGAATATGTCAACTCAAAGATTATTTATGTTCATTTTTGTTGAACGATATTTTGAACAATTTGATCGAGCCAAATTGTATAAGGCTCAAATATGAATCATGGCGGTGGCATCCAACGTAGGTACCGTACATTGACTTTTGGCCTCCCCTGTATTAATCGGTTAATTCTGAGTTTATGTACACCTTTGTTATCACATAAGATCCTTATATTAACAGTAGCTGCTGTTTTTACGGAAAACATGAACATTTAAAAAGAAATATAAGAGACTCCCGGTTTTTGCAAAATGTTCGCCTCGTAAAAATGACGTTCCCTCAAAATAGTATTTTACCTGGCAAACCATTCCCTATGCGTGTTGCTTTTTTCAAGCTTTTTGCTTATGTGAGAGAAGCGAGCAAAAAATTAGCAAGCTGGACAAAATTTCACCTGTCTATTGTGTCATCAATTTTACCTAAGTTAAGTCAGAATTCACACACCACATGTACCTCAAATAGCCCACTGGCAAAATCATTTTTCTACAGAACCCATATACTGTGGAATGGACTCCCTTTACAGGTAAGACAGATTGTGTCTACTAGTCTTTTCAAAGCTGAGGTCACTAAGCATCTATGGAAATGTTTATTGGATAGTGAAACAACAGTCTAGCCTAGTCTCTTTGCTCCCCATATTATTATTATTTTTGTTTTATTAATTTTTGTATCTACCTTCCTATACTTTCAACATCATATCACACTTCACCCGCACACCTTTTCACACATTAATGACCATTTCAGACCTGTATCTAATGTATCTGGAATTTGACGTATTGAAATACAAATTTTGACTCTATATCCACAGTTATTCACCATGGATTTGTTTGTTATTAAATGGATTTGTTTGTTATTAAATAGTTTTTCATAAATTTTTGGATTTAGATTAATTCGATGTAATGGGTCCAAGTTACTGCGGACATAGTTCACTATGTGTTTACCGTGTTTGGGTGCCCATCATATTTTACAGATGGGGGCGATATTTTGAACGATCCTATTTTATATTCATCTATTGCTGTACTCTGTAAAATTTGAAAAGTATTTAATAAAAAAAACAGTGGGCCTTTGCGTACTGCGCCACAGGATCAATGGTCAATTGTGAGATTGAAGTTTTCTTTACCTTGTCTGGGGAGTCCCAGCGACCATCTGCATCAGACCATATGTGGCACGGTCTGATGGTCCCCACTGTCATAAGCATTCTTGAAATTGTTGTTTTCTTGACTATTACTTTATGGCCATGGTGCACCATGAAACGTTACACCACTGATATACCCCTAATTTCTTTTGTAGGTTGTGATATTCTTTAACAGAAAAAATTTACCAGGGGTGTACAATTTCTTTCAAGACAATAAAACTGTTCTGAATCATTTCTTGAGCTTGACTAAGGGGTGTCTACCAGTTGTTTTCATAATACAAATTACTCTTTTGACCTTAGCATTAGCACCATGTTTCTTTTAATGATATTCACTTATTTTTATCTTTCACCTGTCCTATTAGCTTGTCCATACAGGGTTGCACAAAAATTGACTTTCTTCAAAGTTTAAAAAGAAAGATGTTTATAATCGTAACTCTTTTGGGTGCATGTTCTTGTTTGTAATGTATAATCATTTAGAAATATGATATGAGTTATGGGATCCTCAACACTGTATCCTCCTCCTTCTGCATTCATGAATGGACAATTGAGTAACCGAGCATCTGCAATACTGAATGCAGGTATCTTAATCGTATCTAATTAGTTTAGCAATGTGAACTTTTTAGAAGTATTTTACCTCTTACTTGAACCTAAAATATATTCAAGCAGTCCAATTATTGGCTTCATGTTTTCATCTAAAATTAAAATCGTTTCAGCGAACCCAAGTTGTAACTCGCTGAATCTACTGGAGTTGGATGAACTGCTTGGCTGGGCTGAAAGTGCAAAGTCCACCCCACACCAATCAGCTGCATTAGACGAACTTGACAAGTTGCTTGGGGAATTCAACATTGAAACAGTGGATAGACTTGAAAAAAGGATAGCAGAGGTCAGACCACAACTCAACAGAGCATCCAGTTTTCATACTTCAGAGGGAGACATAAGGTCTCATGTACAGAATAAAGTTCCAATGACTTTGGAGAGTAGAGTGTTCAGTGAGCCTAGATTTGAGACTTGTAACCCTGAGCCTGATCTAACACCCGTAAGACCAATGTCTCCCCCTCTCAACAACACCAACAACACCAGCACTCCAATGGATGATATCCTCAAGAAAGAATATCCACCTGAGATACTACACAACTTCTTTGGTAGGAGGAATATAACAGATACTCAGAGTGAAATGTCATCGGTTGTTCCCCGGAACACACTCTCTCACACTCCTTCAGTATGTAGCTCTGTGTCAAGATATTCACAATCGTTCAGCTCTTCTGAGAAAGCCAGTAACTACACCATGTTTTCTCTCCCGCATCGCAGGGAGGTATATAATCAGGTACCTTCTATGGGTACTATAAACCCTAAATTTAGCACTTTGTTAAGTCAGAATACACGGTATGACCTGAACACTCTGAGCAGTAATGCGAGCAAGAGAAATAATACAGGGACTCTCAAGAGCAATGCTAGTACGTTGAGAGCAAATGGTCATGGTGGTCAGCCTTTGAAGGCTACACGTAAAAAGAGGAGGTGTAAATTTTTACTTTGTACACCTGTATAATATAGTATAGTATAGTTCTATGTTTACACTTTTACAGTTCTACAGTACACTACAAGGTTTCAGGAAGTATAAGTCTATTTGAGCAAACTTGTAAATTAGTCTGAGTGTGAGACAGAGCCTGTTTTTCCTGGAATGTGGTGGTTGAGGTTGCAAAAGATGCTTAATTAAATTTGATAAATCAGTTGGTGTTTCATATTGTCTGACAAGAAATGTATGTGTTATTTATTTGAAAAGTTTCTCAAGTTTTGTTTGAAATCCTTGTGCGGCTGGACCAATTCTGTTGCAACCAATCGTGTTGCTATTAACATAATGTTAGAGCAAACAGACAGAGAGAAACCCTGCAATTCTTGGTTACTTGAACAAAATTGGAGAAATGTCACGTGTTTGCAAAATAATTTATAAGTTGTTGGTTGATTTTATCAGATTGTCGCACAGAGCATGGGCAAATATTTTATTTTTGTACTCGTTTTTTGTTTTATTAAACATAATAATATAAACTTTCAGATTTATTTTGACTCATTCCTGATTACCTAGCACAAACTAATTTTGATTTGCTACCCTGCAACACACAAGTACGATATGTTATAAATTATATGAGGTGACAATGTCACGATTTTGTGGAGACTTAGTTTGAAATAATTCAGATCTTGGGTTCAGATAACAAGGTTCTGTTTATAGAAAATACCTTAAATCTAACGTAATACTTACTTTCAAGTGAAACATGGTGTAACTTGACAGCTACGAATTATTTGTTGTTTAATTTTTACAGGGATTTATATAAAATTAGAACCAGAGCATAGAAAATTAGAAACGTTTATTTTGAGTATCACAGTGTATAATTGTACAACGCTTTTCGATATTGACTAACTTTATTGATACCATATCACATTACATGTAACCTTAATTTTATTAAAATATGTTACATTGTTTTAAATAAACTTTCATTTAATTAACTTACCAACCTATTTTTAAAGTTCTCAAAGTAAGCTGGACCTTACGTTACAGTACATTGCAACATATTCGAATAACTCTAATTATCAAGTAGATTAAACTAATTAGTATGAACTATGAAGATTTATTTAATGAGATATATTATGTTATATAATAATAATTGCAAATAAACACAAACGTGCTTACTTTTCATAGTAAAACTTATTATTTATATGTTCGATTTGTTACCGTAATTTTCGTGATAACTTTAACTCTAACTCGTTTCATTGCTGAAGATCGAAAGTATCAGATTTCATATAATTTAAATTTTCAATCTGCTCGTACAACGTGTATAAGATTTCATTAAATAATTCTTTACACTGGCACACTGTGTTGCTAAACTTTTAATTTAATTTTTTAATAAATTTAATTTATTATATTAACTCGCTACTATAGATTACATATAGACAGGTATGGTGGAGTTAAATAAAATGACAATAGAGAAGTTGTCAACTCTGACGGGTAAGATTCTAACAGATGTGAGTTACACGAATGAGATATCCACAGTACTGGACCTGGTCACCGAGGAGCAGAACTCTGAGATTCTCACCTTGGCTGCCATCTCATCTCTTAAAAAGGTTCGTTCTTTCTTCCTGTACGTGTCGTATAATAGTAGGTACGAATTTATTGTATTAGCAACTCACCTTGTTGGCCATCATTTTCTCAACAACCCTTTTCAGATATACGATAAGTTGCTGACAAACTCGTGGATGTTCGACGTAAAAGGAGACACAAAAGAAACAGAAGAGAAAGAAGTATCCGAGTACAGAGACTGGATGAGAGACACTTACAACGAGGTGTTCTGTGCTATCTGCTCTAAAATAAACTCACTATCTCCTGAAATACTGGAGTCAGCCTACGCCACTTCTCTCTCCTTTCTAAGTGCTGAGACTGTGTTTGTGAAGCTGTCACGTGACAGAGCCGGTGTGTTTATTGAGCACATTCTTATCTCCAAACAGTCAGAGTTAGTAACACGGCTCTCGAATGAGGTGTCTGATTTAGATTGGAAGTATGCTACTTTAAGAGGGATTGAGAGATTTTCAAAGAAACATTCTGCAGAAACTCATGTAGACATGTCTCCGTTTGTTTATCAGTTGTTGTCCTCAGTTGATATCTCAGAATTCACATCATCTGAGCACACGGAAAAGAAACGTAAAACAGATGCTTCTAAAACAATATTCCACATTTGTAAAGCTTATAATTCCACTTGGATCCAGTTTCTAAAGATGCCCAAATCCAAGGAGTTGTATCACACAATCCTCTCCAGTCTTCACGAGAAAGTGATACCTCACATGCAGAATCCCAAACTTCTTATCGACTTCCTGGTGGACTCGTACGATCTGGGAGGTACAACTAGTCTGCTCGCTCTCAACAGTCTGTTTATCTTGATAACAGAGTATAATCTAGACTACCCTTCCTTCTATCCAAAACTCTACAGAATGCTGACAGCTGACTTGCTCCACGCCCCCTATGTCACCAGGTTCATCTCAATGTTGGACACATTCCTAAAGTCACCCCTCCTCCCCGCGTACTTGGTCGCAGCGTTCGCTAAACGTCTCGCGCACAACTCCCTACAAGCGCCTCCCCACGTGATAGTTATAGTGGTGAGGGTAATAACTAACCTGATTAAGCTACACCCCAGTGTTAAGAGACTGGTACACAGGGGACCTGACCACGCTGCTGTAAGAGAGGACCCCTTCCTTCCTGCTGAACAGGACCCTGCGCAGTGCAACGCTCTGCAGTCATCACTCTGGGAGTTAGAGGTGCTGGCTGAACATTACTGTCCGGGTATTGCTACTACTGTTAAAACTCTGAGGAAACCTACTGATGAGATTTTAGTGGGGTTAGGTTTGGAGAAGGGGTATGATGGCTTGTTTAAGGAGTATTTGAAGATGTGGAGTAAGGATCCTCCTTTAGAGTTTACTGAACCACTTACTTTTAACCAATCAGAATATGCTGACATCTTTACTTTTTAATTTAGATTTATAGGGTTGAATTACTTATTATTAACTTATTGAACTTTATCTCTGTTTTTAAATTATTGACGGTCTGCATCGATATTTTTTAGAATATTCTAAAATTCTAACCACAAACATTGCGTTTAATATTGATTCTAATAAATTCTCAACAAAGGTAGGAACTAGGATCTAGAATATTCCATCGCTTTTATGAACAATACAAAAAGTCTTTCCACCCAGCTAATAAGTTTAAGCGTGAAAAAATAGAGAAATATTTGCTCTCTGAAAGAGTACAGGGTGGACTGGTGGTGGAAATTTAATGAACCCTGGAGCAACAGACAACACAAATATAATTACACACATTTCACTGTACACTGTGTATTAGAACCACTTGTAGTATATTAGATTACCTGGTTCTGTGTGGTTAGGTGGGTTAAGAGAGTGCTATCACGTGGTTCTCAGGTCACGTGGTTCTCAGGTCACGTGGTTCTCAGGTCACGTGACACGTGGTTCTCTGGTCACGTGACACGTGGTTCTCTGGTCACGTGACACGTGGTTCTCTGGTCACGTGACACGTGGTTCTCTGGTCACGTGAGGAGAGTGTCTCTCAGATCACGTGATATCAGCTCATATTCAACAAACCTTACATCATCTTCACAAATACCCGAACACGCCTCTATTAATCTACTAATTTACTGGGGCCCGGGGGTGCTGTATTTTTATTTAAAATAACGTCTGACTTACCAGTTAACACTAGACATGAGATTTCTAATTAAAATCTCTGTAGATCACTATAAAATTTACAAAAAGTTTTTAGTCCTTATTCCAAATTCAGTCTTCTTAACCAGTGGTTCAATGTGGAAGTTGACAGACACAAGATTACGCCCAATTTTAGGAGATATTATGTTGAATATTATGTTGTTACTACGGGAGCTGGGAGGAAAAACATAACAACGCCGGAAATATAGTCAAATTAAATTTAATGCAATTTAGCCTTGTAATAATTATCATTCTCCACTACTTTCAATAGAGTTTGTTTCAAAATATCATGTTTCCTAACTTCTAAGTTTAGATTGTGTCCAAAGTAGTGTAAACTTTGCTCCTACTTCATGACTGAGGTGAATTGCCCTCATTATATGATGTTATTTTACATTAAGCTGCGGAAACCCATGTTAATGAAGATATGCTTCGCTGCTTGAACCCTTAGCTCCATTATAATTAGTATGATATAATATCATATAAGGAAATATTTCTCAATGCAATAGTAGATGCTGCACCTATGACCTAGCAGCTAGATACAAGTGTGATTACATTTCTTTATTATTATCACATTGTAATAACTAACGTAACATCATTCTTACCAAGATTAAAGTTTTCAAATTGAATTTTCACACTCTGTAATTCGTACGAGATAAGAGAAACATAAGGTCACCACTTGGAACCTGGAACTTATTGAACACATGAGGTGAGATTGTGTACTTTTAACTTCAGAGCACTACACAATTACAAGTAGAAACTTGTAAAATGTTTTGTGTAGCATATAATTATGTATATAGTTCTAACTTATTATATTGTTCTTTGATCTAGTAAATAACTCGAATACCACTAAATCACGATGTAACACAATCACAAGTTGTCTCGCTGGATTAAATAAATTAAACTTAGAACAATTTAACCACCGTCCATTGTCCAATGATGTGATAACTCCTAATAATAATTTATTGCCGTCTCGTCACGTTTTGAGTAAGATTACTACTCTTAATTAATTGTCTGAATATAAAGACTGTGGCTAACTATTAATTAATGAATAGTGAGATATCCTGCTATTCTGCAGTGACCCACTTTTAACCTGGCAACAACCCAGAATTATACTGGCGATCCCGGTTAATAGTGCTCCAAGTAAAGCATGCTGTAAATAGTTGTGACGGTAGTTCCAATAAACTGATATATTACTTACACTACAGATATTCAGTGGGATCAGTGTACATATAATCACTGAATATTACATAGCAAGCAACACAACCTGGCAGCTATGTAAAGTAGTTCGCTACTCTGTGTATACTACTTAGTGTAACCCTTAGTGAGGGTTATTGGAGGGGAGAGGGGAGAGGGAGAGGGGAGAGGGAGAGGGGAGAGGGAGAGGGAGAGGGAGAGGGAGAGGGAGAGGGAGAGGGAGAGGGAGAGGGAGAGGGAGAGGGAGAGGGAGAGGGAGAGGGAGAGGGAGAGGGAGAGGGAGAGGGAGAGGGAGAGGGAGAGGGAGAGGGAGAGGGAGAGGGAGAGGGAGAGGGAGAGGGAGAGGGAGAGGGAGAGGGAGAGGGAGAGGGAGAGGGAGAGGGAGAGGGAGAGGGAGAGGGAGAGGGAGAGGGAGAGGGAGAGGGAGAGGGAGAGGGAGAGGGAGAGGGAGAGGGAGAGGGAGAAGTAGGTTTATAGCACCGAGTGGAGGGGAAATTGTATTCACACGTTTCAAATACCTTTTGTTATGGCTAGGGAAACTCTCTACAAGAAGAGTTGGACGATGGTTTCTAAGTATAAACTGATTTAAGGGTCTCGAATGTTCCAACACGGAGACTCCAAAGTGTCTGACTTGTTCATTACAACAACTTTATCAACATGCACATTGAAATGTAGTTTTAATTACTTATTCTGTACTATAATGCACACTGCAAATAATACATCGCATTGAGTTGTGTGTTCACCAACTACTCCTCTCCAAGATACTCTCTTCTACTATTATCACTTTTTCTATTGTTATTATTCTAAAATTACATAACAGTTATAAATGTATAATACCGATATCGCAATATCAGTTACAATGATAGGTACGGTGGGTATATCTTTCAATTTCTAGCATGGAGCAAATTTTAAATCGTATTTTACGTTCAAAAGATTTCCAGTTGACGTGAGGCCGATCTAAATTTTATGGCCTTCCAGCCATTGCTGGGGTATTCATAAGATTTTTCTACTCTTCTAGGTTTGGCAAATCTATTTCCTTTTTATTGAAATTCCAGGTCGTATTTTATCAGTGTGCTACATTGTTAAGTAAACAGTAAAAAATTGTATATTGTTTATAATAAGTAAAAGTTTTAAAAGTTTAGTTTATATAATTCAACATGCACTGTAAAACAAAACTTAATATTAATATGTACTGTAAGCGTGTAGTTGTTTTAAACCTGCTACATCTACAGGTAAGCAGATGTTAGCCGGCCCACTCAAGTAACAATGTCGGACCTGAGCCCACATCCAGAAAGTTTTAAATTTCCTCCCAGTTCAATGTTTCTTACCTAAACATTTTCTTATGCTCCTAAAAATGTCAGAATTTCCTCGCAGATTATCTGCTGATCTGCCGCCTTTCTGGGCCTGAGTGGGACAATGTATCAGCTAACATCTCACTACACTGTTACTTACAGTCTAGTCAGGTAACTGGAGATGGTATTTACTTTATTAATTGGGTTTCAGTAACATCGTTACATTACATGGTCTCCTCGCCCCGGTACATTACATGTGCTCCTCGCCCCGTTACATATCCTCACCGTTATATTTCATGTGGAGTTGAGTGACAGTGTCATGTCTTACAAAACCTGGTCTGAGTTAATACAGCAGCTTCTCGCGGAACTAAATAGAAAATGCCTTCCAAAATAATAATAACCATGATGTTTTGGAAATAGCATCGAACAACCACAATAAATCTTATATTTCTATATACAGTATATTATACTAATTTATGTAATGTATTGAACATGCTTACAAATTGACGTACAATAATATAAATTATATAATTATGACACTATCATGCTGATAACACTAACCCTTGCTTTACCCCACTTTAGTTAACCATGTGTAGTACAGCCAGTTTTGGCGCCGCCAACTCATGTGGAACGGAGAGTGTGATGATAAAGAGCAAAACAAACAAACGAACAGATGTTTGTTTTAAGTGTAAAACTGGGCTTCCTTTTGTTCTTATCAGACACGGGGACCCCTTCTGCGGTCCTTGTTTTGATCATCATCTTGTTCACAAATTTAGACAGGTTAGACTTTTGGAGTTGCAGTATTTATAAATAAGAATAATAACACTCGACATTTATACATTGCTTTAGAGCATAAAGGATCTCAAAATCTAAAGATTCAGTTACTGATACCTTAAATACTAGTTATTAATTTATTTGTTACATGTAACCTGGGAAAGTTTGATCCTTGTTGCTAGGATACCGTTATGAAACAATCCGTCAACAGATTAGATGAACTCTCATATTTTTATTTATATAATAAAGTTACAATATATAAGTTATATATAAGTCCATTATGACTTGACATGCTTGAGAGAGACGAGAATAGTTTAGCGTAATATAATAAGTTATATTCCGCCCTATTATACCATATATGGAATTATCTGAGGTATTTGGTGGTCATTATATTGCATAGCCCCAACATTCTATCAATCTAATTGCTTTTCATCCAGGGTCTTGGCAAGACAAAGATTCTGTATCCTGGTGAAACAGTTCTTCTGAATGTGTCTGGTAACGTCTCCTCCCTGGCCATGTTAAATCTTATGGCGACTGGATACGATAAAACGTCGCACAAGAAGATAACTGCATTCCCAAAGATACTGATTATTGATGATAGCTGCTTGTTCGATATGGCAGAAAGTCCAGTTCCTGCCATTCTTCGAATTATTGAAAAAGTTCCTGACATGCCCAAACAAACTTTTGTCATTCCATTTGAACTGATTTTTCTGGAGAATTACCAAGAAAGATGCAGGCAGTTTTGCGAGGACAATGCTACAAGGGCAGTTGTTGATTTGAAGGAAATGGACACTGATTTTGACGGGCTTTCTGAAGCTGCCAGATCTTCTTTTCAGAAGATAAAAACCTCATCTGCGAAAGAAGATATTCATCGATCTCTCCATCTTCAAATATTATCTACTTTTGCTGAGATATTAAAGTCTACCAAAGTGATGATGTCAGAAGTTTCTACAGACTTAGCAGCCAGGCTACTGAACACTGTATCTGTGGGGAGAGGTCTATATGTGCCTAACGAAACACAATATCTAGATACAAGACTTCCTGGTCTTACCTTCATTAACTCTATGAGAGAATTTACACCAAAAGAATGCGCATTTTATCTCCGTCGCCTAGCAATAACTCCAATAACCATTATATCTCACTCAACTCTATCAGATCCAATAGTAGGCAGTATGAGCAGGCTCACAGACACCTTTATATCGGGATTACAAGCTAACTTCCCTTCTACTGTCAGCACTGTCATGAAAACTGGTGCCAAGTTACAGACTGTGTCTAACGCTGGTGCTAACTGTGACGTTTGCTTCTTACCATTGCCACAAAGTGGAGATGTTGTTCAGGATCTGACTCTGTTAGGGCTAGAGGAAGGGCTCTGTTCTGGCTGTCAGATTGCTGTCAGCGAGAGCCACGAGAGTGTCAGGGGACTTATTTCTCGGCGAGCAAATACCAAGGAGATATTAGACGAGTTTCTGATTGATTAGTTCAAGTTCATGTTTTTAATTAACTTATTAAGGTATATTTGGGTTTACTGAGAAAATGTATTGCTTTATTTTCAACCGAAGCTAAAAGATAGCTGTCTTTAAGATGTTACTTAAACTGTCAAATTGATTGAGCTGCATCGGCGTCTTGGAGAGTAAACATTATCTGGGAGAACCATTGGCGCCAAACTACTAGCAAGAAATGTCTTTAGATGTAGAGAGCTTCGCGCTCTACGCCACATTATAGGCGCGCGCGCGCACGACCTGCGCGGACAGCATGCTATTAATTATGGCGCCGGAGCCGTCTCGGCCATCACACGTGTCTGCTGGGCCGGGCGTGAGTTTGCTCGCTGTATTTCTTATCCCAAAACCATCTGGACACTGACAGAACGGGGTCGTCCACATATTAAGTAATCAGCTGAGGGGGGGGGGGGGGGGGGGGGGGTAAAAATGTCCCAAAAAATGATGATTACGTAATATGTATACGACCCCTATCAAACTTTGCAGGGTTGATAGGCACACTACGGGCTGCAAGTATTTGTTGATATTCATGAACAAATACAGAGTACTTAAATATTTGAAAACCCTACCCCTATCAGAGCAAATCCTTCTAATAGTAATACTTTCATTTTAGAGTTTGTCAAACAAATGAGAAATTGTATTCAAAAGCATCAAGTTAATTGAAAATCCTGACAAATATAAAAATAGCGAATCCAGCCAATATAACAAACAACCAACTTAACGATCGAAGCCAACCTTCAATTACTCAATTAGTAACTTGAGGAAATAAATTTACCTTTACCATAAATCAGCTTTGAAATGTGTGCTTTGTGTCTGATTCAAAAAGTTTGAAAAAGGACATTCAATCAATTGGGTTTCTGGATAGGTTGGTTGGCTTCGAAAGTAAACAAACACGGCAAAATCCCATTTACTGGGCTAAATTGTGTTAGACAACTGTGTTTAATAAATGGAAGAAACTTGGCGACCATATTTACCTAGACAACCTAAAAACCTAAAATTAATAATCAAGAAAAAAAGTGCATTTGTGTCAGACACTAAACTGTACATAGAAAGCGCGCATTTGTGGACGGTAATAAACAAATACAATTGAAAGTTATCATTACAACTACGTAAAGTAGTTAGAGTTTTCTCCAGGAAAAATAAATAATAAATTAATTTAATTACAAATAAGTGACTAGATGACATCCTCGTGATCCTCTAAATTATCCTCCATAAGATGGCACTGGTCTGTGTTCATTTCTTCTAAGTCATACTCCTCACAGGCCTCATTGAAAATACCATACTCTACACTGTTATTGTTAGTAGTCACTGAACTGGTATGCCTACTGTACCTCACTGAAGGAGGCACTTTGAACAGTTTACCTGTTAAAAAGTCTTTGAACTTAGACAGTAAGTTTCTTCGCTTACATATGAAACACAGCGCTATCAACGCTAATACGAAAAGAAGCACCACTATCGCAACTACTATATCGATTAAAGAATGGGACCTGGACCCATTGTTCAGTAAATCACACGTGTCACCATGGTAACCGGGAAGACACTCACACACCATCTCCCCTCCAGTAGTGACATTACACTTGCCACCATTAACACACTCACACGTGTTGTCATGTTTACTGTAGCAAGCTGGCCCAGCTCCCTCATCTATCAAACACACACCACACTCTCTGCACTTGTCTAAGACAGCAGGAGACTTGGTCACTACACTGATGTGAGAGCACCTAGGTAACAGGAACTCTCTCCTCACACTCACACTCCTCCCTCTCTTCTCCACACTCCATAAATCCTTCCCTGTGTGGTATATCACGTGGTCCCCAAACACTCTGATCTGTTGCACGTGCTTTAGTTTACTGAGCACTGTTTTAACTCTTCTACCGGAGTAGGAGGCGGAGGAGAGTTGCTGGAGATCGGAGTCGTACCAGTACACTCTTTTAGCAGGCTCGTCCACTGAAATACTCGTTACTCGGCCGTCTTTAAACTGGTAGGTCCTCATATCACTGTTATCTGTTGCGAGGTACTTGCTAACCGATCCATCACTCTTCATCACTCCCAACATCCAGTTCCTGGTGTAGAATATGAGTCCGGACCGGGGACTGAGAGCTAGTTTTTGTACCGGCCGGACAATGTCTGTGTAGACGGTGGTGGAAGCGAGGGTCCGGTTAAGAGACAGGATGTTAACTGAGTAAGAGTTGCAGTAAACTATGTTATTAGTGAGTGGGTTATACTCCAGATCAGCTACACGACCCTCTAGTTCCGTTACAAACACCTCTTGGGAGTCCACCAGCTTGTAGAGTTTGTAGTTGTCCACAATCCCCACTACGAAGTAATAGTTACCAATTTCTGCTGAGTAGAAGGAGAATTTGAAGGAGGCTCGTTCACCGGAGGTAACCTTGGTGAGAGAGGTGGGAGATGAGATCCTCATATCGAACTCGGTGGATATCAGTACCTGAGTGGGCCCTGACTGAAGTTTACAGCTGCTGCCATCGCCTCCCCACTTGACAAACCCTGCTATACAACTGCACGTGTAACTTCCCTTCAGATTAGTACACACCTGGCTACACGTGTTAGGATCTTTACACTCGTCTATATCTTTACACGTGCGTCCGTCACTGTCTAGATAATAACCCAGGAAACAGGAACACTGTCTAGTGTTATCTGGGAGAGGGTTACACACTTGCGCGCATCCGCCGTTATTTGCGCTGCAAGGGTCTCCATGGTTACAGCGCATAATGTCCCGCTGGTTAGTACACACATGTCTCTGGTGCGCAGTGCTGTTATCGCACTTTGGAGCAAATATACATCTCTCCTCAAGGGTCTCATCAGTTTCACAGTCGTAAGCTTCAGGAGCACATTGAGGATAGGAGACTGCAGGGCACAACAACTCATCACTCCCATCCAAACAGTCATCCGCACCGTCACACACTCCCACACTGTCCCTTAGTATTCTCCCGGAGTAGGAACAGCAGAAATCAGGAGGAGCACAGTTAGATCCTGGACACCATACCTCATCATCTTCATGTAAACAATCCACCTCCTTATCACACCAGAAACTGGCGTCCTGGCATCTCCCGCTCTTACATTGTCTCTGGGAGACACCACACTTGCACCCCCTCTGGATCTGGTGGATGAGACTGATCACTTCCTCGCCACAATACCCCTCACAGAGCCAGTCGGAGTCACTCGGGACACACATCCCGTTACAGGAGAGGTAGTTCAGGTCACATGACACAAAACAGCCCTCCTCGTCCTCCCCTCCCTCTAGGTCCCTCCACCCATCACACATTAGGGAGTTGGACACACACCGTGTCCCGAATAACCCATGATCTTGATCACATGACATCTCACATGACTCCTCATCACCACAGTCCACTTCGCCATTACACCGCCAGTTGTCAGGGTAACACAGAGAGTTGCACAGGAAGGTGCCACCCTCACATCTCATCTCAGACTTGTCCTCATCCACACTGTAATAACAGTCCACTTTACCGTCCCCCACTACACTGTCAGAGTAACACTGTAGTCTCTTGTTGTTGTTGAGACACTGGAACCCGCTGCACTCTTCACATCCCTCCTCCTTACCATGACAACAACCCTTCTCATCCTCCCCTTCCAAACAATCTTCAGTTCCATCACATCTCCACAACTCCGGTATACAGGTCTTAGTGCTGTTACAAAGAAACTCAGACTCTGCACACAGAGAAGAGGTACAGGAGTCTTCATCAGAGTTATCAGCACAGTCTTTAAAACCATCACACCGTCTCTCTATAGGGACACATTGGTTACCATTACGACAGGAGAATTGGACCAGGTCGTTGCAATGGAACTCCTCACACCCCATCTCATCACTTCCATCAGTACAGTCCCTGACATGGTCACATTTAAACCTTGTCTCTATACACCCTCCAGACTGACAGGAGAAGTAGATCTCCTCATCACACCTGCTCTCCACTGCCTTACACTTCCCTTTCTCGTACACTTCATCTTTACCTGCACACACACAGGCAGTGTGTAGTTGAGTACCTAATGCATCTACTGCTGTGTTTACACAAACAGCCCCCTCCCCACACGTGTCTACTCCGCAAGCGTTCTCAAGAAGAGGCTGAGAGAGTGGAGATAAGAACAGGATATCAGTATATTCGGTCTCGTTTGTAGTAAGCTGTCTGCAGTCCCAACCTTGGTAAAGTTTACAATCCAGCACCCCTCGCCTGGACATAGCCATATAGCGATGAGATCCAAAAGCTCTGAAACCAGTCAGTATTTCATATGGCATTAAATCTCCACTTTCCAGTAGCTGTGTTTTAGGAGTAGGATACTGCAGCTCAATCTTGTACATACAGAAGTCATGTTCAGGGTCGGCACAGTAGGATGAGAAGTAGTAGAGAGTAGTGGTGATGTGATCAATATCAAAGTGTGAGACCATCTCTCCCCGTCCTGTTACTCTCCTCCGCCTAGTTCCATCTAGTCCAGTCTCTGCTATCTGAGATACACCCTGATACACGTGTATAAAGTACATCTTACCCCGCTGTGGGAGTAGCACTAGTCCTCTGACTTTGTCACAGTGAGTACTGACCACACTAACCGAGGGGCCACTAGGCGGGGAGTACAGCTTTATTTCTCCTAAAACCGGGTCACTCCAGTACAAGTTGCCTGTACTCCAGTCCACTGCTAAAGAGGACACGTGCACGTTCTCTAACGTCCTCCTATTCAGGGTGGGTTTGGTTAGGCTGGTATCCAGAGTGAGCGGGGGCAGGACGTAACGTTTAATAGAGCTTCCCTCAGCAGTGTAGAGCAAGGTGGAGGTAGATGTGATGTGAGTAGCTATGTGGTGCACTGAGTCTGGTAGGTCGTACAACACAAGCTCTCTACTGTGGTTATAGTAGGACACCTCAGAGAGGGAGTAGACGGAGTGGTGAGATAACAGGAGATAAGATAAGGGCGTGTCCGCGCGGCACGTCACATGATCTCTACGATCTAGAGAGTAGCCCGCTACACACCCACACGCGAACCCACCCACAGTATTGTAACACAGCTGGGTACACTGTCTGGCATGTACTTTCAAGTCACACTCGTCAGTGTCAATACAGTACTTCTTGTTAAGGGCCAGTTCGTAGCCCTGATCGCAGGAACAGTAGTAGCCAAGTCTCAGATCTACACACTGGCCATGTTCCAGATCACAGGGACGGGAGAGACACTCGTTAACAGGGTCCTGGTCACACCCTCTCTCGTCTGAACCGTCTCCACACTCATCTACTCCGTTACACACACTCTCCTGCAGATTTAGAGAGTTGTTGATGGTTATCATTTTATCAGCTGTAATCAGTGAAGAACGAATGAAATAATTGGACAAGTAAACTTCGTCATTTCCCCATACGTGGCCGAGTTATTGTTTTAAAACTTTCAATTAAGTTAAATTATCGAGGCATTAGCCAGCTGCAATTAATATTTAATGATTATGTATTAACATCACCGACCTGATCGAGACAGAGTCCAGTATCACAGAGGAAATGGGAGAGAGAGCAGACAGAACAGTTATCCTCATCAGACCCATCACTACAATCACGACTACCATCACATCTGTAGTGCTTATCTATACAAGCTCCAGATAAGCACATGAAGTGGGAAGGTGAACAGTGTGGCGAGACACAGTCTGTCTCATCACTACCATCACTACAGTCGTTCTCACCGTCACAGCGGAGAAGGAGAGGCAGGCAGGAGCTGTCACAGGAGATCTGGTCTGAGGAGCATTCCGAGCATTCCAACTGTGGGAGGTTAGTCAGTTAAAAAACGTTATTTAAGTTAAACAATGTTTAAGGTTATCAATTTGATGCCAATTTATACAATAATAATTAAAATCTCTACAAATAAAACAAAAGGAATTTAGGATAATTTTGAAGGTGGTGAACTAGTGATATGTTGTGAGTACTGAGTATGATATAAAAATAGTATTAAGTAGCAATCAATTAATTATCAATTAGTGATAACTTTAAACGTAAAGCTAATTAGTTAATTAATTCACCTCATCTCTCCTAAGGGACAGTCTCTGTTACCGTCACACTTGTAACGAGGGTGAACACACTGACCGTTATCACACGTCGTGTAACCTTCTTTACACTCGTCACACAATGCTTCGTCACTCTTGTCGTTACACTGAGCCACTCCGTCACACCTAGGTGGGTGAAACATTAACAACCTTTTATAGGAACTTCAACCTTTTACATTCCATCTTTATCATTTACAATAATATTTCTGATTTTAATACTTGACGGTGTTATTATTACTGTGTCAGTTAGTAAGAATGATTACTAACCTTAATAAGAAGCTAACACAAGCGGACCCGTCTTCACAGGAGAATTCCCAGTCTTTACACCAGGTAGTTTCAGTAGAGCAGTCAGTCTCATCAGTACCATCCTCACAGTCAGGTATACCGTTACATTGCGCGCTCGCGGGGAGACAGCGCGCCTCCCCCGACCCTCTCACATCACACCTCACAACACACTGTTCACTGTCACACCCCACCTCATCAGTACCATTGCTACAGTCCGAGTATCCGTCACATGTCCAACTCAGTGGGATACAGTGGTTAGGTTCACACTCAAACGTGCCTGATGCGCACGCCGCGTGTCCGCACAACTCAACATCCTCGTCACTTTTATCAGGGCAATCAGGGTGTTTGTTACACTGGAGCTTACTGTTGATACACTGTCCTGAGTTACAGAGGAAGCCGCTGTCACATAATCCGGTACAGTTCCTCTCGTCACTCCCTCCCACGCAGTCCTGGGCAGTGTCACATCTCAGAGAACTATGCACGCAACCTCCCACCTCACAGTGCCACTCATTCTTCCCACATGTAGTGTTACAGTGCAGTTCGTCTGATCCGTCATAGCAGTCCCTGAAGCCGTCACACCTCTCTGACTCGTCCCTCATACACCTCCTGTCATCACACCTCAACACGCCGATACACTCCTCACCAGTGTAGATACACTGGCTATTTGATAGTGTGTAGTCGTTACTACACAAACACTGTGCAGTACCCGGTACACTCTGAGTACAGAGTTGTGAGCACTGCGCGGCTTTACAGGGTGATTCTGGAGATGAGGGTTGCAGTGAGGCGTGGCCGAGTATTATCCTGGCTGGAAAGAGTGGTGTTCCGTTGGATTGTAGAGTTACTGGAGTGTTACTACCAGTCAATTTGTTGTAGGATCTCAGCGCACCACCAGTAGTGTAGTATACACTGCTCTCAAAATACACTATTTGGTTCACTGTATCTGTAGTAAGAGAGTCTGTGAGAAGATGGGACACCCCAGTGTTGCTGAGTCTGTATAGAGAGTTGTTGAGTGAAGTGTAGTAGATATTCCTGCTGACTTGGTCTAGGTAGAGCTTTACTACATCTTGTAACATAGTGTTACACTCTGTCATGTCAAGTCTACATCTAACTAAAGCATGTTGTGTTGTAGTGTAGTACAGAGTGTTGTACTTTACATCTAACATCACATCAGACACGTCACTACTCAAGGATCTGAGTCCTGAGTACTGAGTGTTACTCATCATTAGAGTGTTATCTTCTATCCAGTAGATATTATCATTAACCCAGTCCACAGCGACACTCCTGATCTCCCTCTCTCTCTTCACTTTAACATCTACTGTGTGTTTCCCTGTCAGATTTATAGCCAGTATCTGACCTCCACTAACTGCTATGATGACACCAGTCTCAGAGAACAGATCAAATGAGATATTTCAGGACTGTGCTGGTATGTGAGAGATGTTACAGCAGAGAAAACACCTCCTCCCAACTGAGCGGTGTAGAGCCCACTGTTGGTTGTAAAGTACACAGTTGCAGGACTGGTCGCTTCACATGTCTTGTTGTCTGTGGTTGACATGGTGTAACCATCGTTACATGCGCATTTCCCGGATATACAGCTCTGAGAGCAGTCAGTGTCAGTGTCACAGGAACAGTTGTCACATGTTACAGAGTCAGTGTCTTGAATAGCAGGGCAGTTCAACTCATCTTCACCACCAGTACATTCTGATGTTCCGTCACAGACCCAGCCTTGTGGTATACACTGTTCCGCATCACACTGAAATTAACAGCAGTTTAGTTTACTTATTGAAACATTTTGGAATTCCACATGGAATGGTCGGGTTTCTTAGGTGTTCATAAAATTGTCAAAAAGAGGAGGATTTCAAATATTTACCTTAAACTGAGATTGTGGACAGAGCAAATTGTCGAAGTCACAGAGCTCATCTGTAAATAATGTCGTATTGCTGTTACAGTCAGCTACACCGTTACAAAACAAGTCGCTAGACAAGCAGGTCCCATCCCCGCAAGGCAGCGTCCCTGAGACAGTCATTATTATACATTATTATGCATCGACACAGTACATACACGCGTACACTGACGTATTATTCTGGGGAGGTGGTCGATTATCGTTTGGCTGGCAGCACCGAGGGAGAGCGTAATTTCTTAAAAAGCGCGAAATTTCTAGAGCTAGAAATGAGACGCGCGCGCCGACTTTACTACTGGAAGTAAATCGCGTCTTCCAGTCTATATTATTTGTAGACCCTTTCAGCGCCTACCACGCTTGTTACAAATGGTATACAAGGTTCAGAGTTCAATAAATACGATCCGGAATCGCAGAGTTATTAATGTAATTGGAGCAGTAGTAACATCTGGGTTATAAAATATGAAAATATGCACACGCCTCTCTGGACAACCGGGTGGGCAACATACCACCACAATTCCGCAAATACCTCCAAGTAAATCCACTTACCGTTGTGACAAGTGGCGTTTTGACAGTTCATCTCATCGGTTTTATCTTTACAATGCACGACACCATCACACAGGTACTGAGAGTCCAGACATCTTCCGTTATCGCACGACAGTTGTGTTGGGCTGCAGCCTCCGCCCTGTACACATTGTTAATTAATTGCAAGTAACGGTCAGAAGATATTATCATTAGAGGAAAGAACGAGTATATTATAGTATATTATAGTATAGTATATTATAGTATTAAGTATTTTGTTGCTGTGTTCATCCTCGTGGTTGTAAACTTTATAGCTTGTTTTTATTTAAATCCTCTCGAATCATCTATATGTTTGAAAGACCCTTTCCAGAAAGCCTCTGAATATATCTATCTACTAGATAAGCTAGTAGCTACTCATAGAGAATGAATGTACATATTAAACGTTCATTTATTTACCTGTGCCAAGTATTACATTCCTATTTCATGTATTACATTCAGGAGTAGTTTTTAGGCTTATTATTGGAAATTGCTTATTTGTAGAGTAAAAGTGGAGCCACTGCTCTAAATACAGTACTAACATAGAAATGAAGCAGTTATAAGCGAATGGCTTCATTTAAATTCATTAATGCACTACAAAGTCTCTGCCGGAAGTAAGTTAAGTAGTACATACTACATTGTACGTATTGTGTACTTTTATTATTGCTGACTCAGTAAGTACATGTTCAATACGGAACTTGACTATTATTGAACAATGCACAAGTACTCATATATCATTAAAAGTACACGGCGGCATATATTTAATAATAGCCTTTTTGAAATAAGTCTACTGTTTATAATATGTGATGTTAATACTCGATGAGAAGATGTTTGTAAAGTAATAGTATAGAGCAAAGACCTGGTCTAATACTGATTAACGTCCCTTTCCTTAAATTTCTTGGAAAATTCTACTTATTCAATTCTTTTTGGGTTTACTTATTGACATGCATTATAGCGTTTTTTAGCTCAAAAAGTCTAAATTGTCTCCATTTTTAAGGGAAACAATGAGTTACCAGGGGCGTTACCTTGACAACAATAATGCGAGTCTATACTTAGTCAGCTCCGTCCTGTGCACCAGAGTTACCAAGGATAACAGTTTCTCTAGATTGTTAGGAGCCTTCAGTAGATCAAATATAATGTATCTTATGATATGTGGATATAAAATGTTCTGTCGCACATTAAAATTCTTTGATATATATTCCATATCTGACAGCGAGTTAGGAGATATTAAAGTGACAAGTGCGATATTTCCCTGAGATCGAATCCTTGGCAACCAAAAAAAAGAGCACTTGCTAGTCATCATAAATTTACCGCTGAAGCTGGAGGAAAAGTGCTTTAGATTACCAACTTAAATTTGATGTGAGATTTTCAAAGAAAAATGCAGACTGCACTCCGAGCTGTATTTTATTGGGGGTTGTGCTGTTGAATTATTTGATAGACTTGGACAAGGGACAGCGACAGTCAACACATTTACACCATGGAGTTTAACTCCCACCAATATCTAAGTCTTTAATTAAGAGACTAGACTTTAATTGTGTCATACGAGTTATAAAATGTTAAGAATACCTCCAAATATCGCCCAATCCTGAACAGAACTATTTCAGTAAACATTGTCTGGAATTTTACGGCCAGTGTCCAATCCAATCAGTTATCGCACACCACAAATTTGGTTCTGATGAAACTCAAAACTTATATAATATAAACTTTTATCAACAAAACACGATAAGGTGGTCTTATTCCACTTCATTTCTGTAGAAACTTGAGTACTACAGAAATGCAATATAATAAAACGAGTACACGAGTCTAGTTAAAGTACCATACAAGACACAGCTGAATACACTAAGCAATGTACTCACCCCACAGCTTATATTAGCGATGTAGTGCAGAATTACTAACACTAGTGCACGACCCATCAGTCTGTCAGATTAACATAGTTTTCTAAAAGAGCAACGGAGATAAAAACTAATCTGAGATAACAGTAATGGTAATTTCAACAAAACATAATAATTGACAAGAAGCCAGCAACTGCTGGCTGCAACACTATGGGAATCTCTGCGGATAAGAAGCAAGAAAAGAAAAAAATGCCAGTAAAAGACTACAACTTGCGGCGAGTTTCAGCTGAAATATTTGAGATACGCTCTGTTGATAGAAGTATGTGCACTGCGTTTAGCAGAGGGGTAAGTAAGACGAGGCTGCTGGTGCTGCTGTCAGCTAATAAATCAGCCCGCCAAACAATAAAAACCAAGATACCAGCACTAACTGTCAGGAATTTGCACCCTCTGTTCAAATACTTCGCAGGCGGAAGCAGGCCTGAAACTGTCACTACTTGTAATTTGACCTATCAAATTTCAGGAGCCGACATTCTGTTTCAGGAGGGTTTCCACTCGGTGACACGCACCGACCCGGCCCCACGCTCCATTAATCTCAACATCAACACCACTTACCCCGGCTTCACTGCTTCCAACACCACTTTAAATCTACTCTAATTCTAATTTAACCGCAATAACACCCGCTTTATTTCAACTTATCATAATACTTCAGTAACTCTGTAGTTTTACTGCAAAAACCCCGCCACTCGAGTTACTACTCTAATTTAAATTTGTTGTTGAGGTGTGGTGGAATAAGGGTTCAACACGTGTTTAACACGTGTGCTATTGACAGGAAACAGGCGTTTAATGACAGTGTAATAATTCACTCTTCTCCCTCTTCTCACTCACTTTTCTGAGAAACGGGAAACCTCTCCCAGCTGCTATAAATACTTTGTCTCGTTTTATTGAGAACTCGTGCAGATCCCAGCACACCTCATCTATAGTATATAATGCACAGTATATATACTAGTATAAAGTATATACTATAGTGTGCAGTATAATGATTACGTCACACTCTGTTATAACGTCATACTCTAGTATACTAGTACAGTATAGTAGTATAGTATACTAGAGTAATAGACTAGTATAGTATGCTAGCTCGCTCAAAATACGATCTCGAAACAGGTGACAATAAGAAAGGTAACTGATGACAACGACAAAGGTAGAAATTAAACCTTCAGCTGTCTAACATTTGGAGGATCCGTCATCGCTATTTTCTCCAGGACAAGAACCCCGAAATTTTTCTGATAAATTACAAGTGGTAATGAAGCCCACCACGTTCTACCCTTCAGGTTAATTTCAGGAGTGGTTATCAAGTCGGAGTGTTATTAAGTCACTCGGAGTGGTTATCAATTTGGAGTATACAATATAACGGGACTAAGGAAATCAGAGCGCAACATCAACCGTAATGCTAATAATAACTCTGTCTCAATACCATAAGCACGCCATCACAGAATCAATTTCACTGCATACCATCTCAGTTACACTGCCATCAATTCGCCAGCAAAAACGGCATGACGCTATGCGACTGATAACAGTCGTTAAATTTTTAAATTTTGGAATAGCTAGCTAGCCGTAGCTAGGCGCCTGTTTCCACTCTAACAACTCTAAAAGCGCATTAATATGATAATTTCAACTAAAGGCAACTTTATATGTGCTCAGCTATGTTTTGTTCGACAAGCTCCATTATATACATTTTAATCGTTTTAATGAGATCTAATCTTGTGTGAGTTTTGAGTTTGAATTGATAACACTTATTATATTTGTATATATTATTTTTTGAGTAAACATTGGCTGGTACTTCGGGCCGGTCCCCAACCAACCAGGCAGTGTGTTATTAATTAAGTCACTCGGAGTGTTATTAATTAGAAGTAGCAAACAGGCGTGGAGTGTAAACGCGGAAATAAGCTAATTAAGGGAAGCAACAAATTGTAGTTACTAACCTACACTACTAAACTGTAACTTTACTAACCTACACTACTAAACTGTAACTTTACTAACCTACACTACTAAACTGTAACTTTACTAAACTGCACTACTAACTCACTAAACTGCACTACAGGCACTAATATACACACATTACCTAACCACTGACACATTACCCATTTACCCAGTACAACACCCCCCAGTTTGAAACAAAACACAGAAACAATGGCAGGAAGAAAGGAGCCAGAGAAATGGGGGGAGTTTGAGAGAATGGGAGAAGTGGGGGGACAATGTGGGGGGTAGTTTTACTCCCCTTACTTCCGATATGTCCGGGTCATTGTTTCTACCGATATTGTGAAACAATACCCCTCCCCCTATCACATCTTACCACGATATTAAACTAATAGTTTAGAACACTGTGCCAAACTGTACCTTACTAAGAAAATGTTGTCATTTATCTAAAATGTTGTCATTTGTTTATTTCAAATTTACGTTTCTATTTAATTTAGGTGTACTGTTTAAAATCAAAACACATAGTAGTGCATGGATAGGAGGATTCGCGGCGCTTCTATAAATCATAGATGCAGAAATAAAACTTACAGAAACTTTTAAAAACAAAAGGATGGCACAATGGGCTCAAACTAATCCTCTTCAATTTAAAATGTTACATTTCTTTTAGTGACTAACCAAGCAGAGAGCTTCATCTGAGAAGTCAGAACAGTCGTATCTCCCATCACATCTCCATAGCAACGGTATGTAACGCGTACTGAAACACGTGACTTACTATTAAATGTGCAAATCAAGTCATTCATCTTGATCCTATAGAATGTTCACAACGTTTTAAAAGTTAATAAAAAAGGTCTAATGTTTTTAATCCTGCCACTTCAACGGTAAAAAGGGAAATGTTTTAGATATTTCGATTTTAAAGTTCCTTCCCCAATCCAGTTACACGACAATATTGATCCAGACATTGACCCTTAACTCCCAATTCCACCAACTTCTGTTTTACAGGGCCAATTATCGGAAATTAGTGTGCACAAGAACAGAGGTTTGTAAGCAGACATAAGCAGGGGAACATAAGGGGGAACATAAGGGGGAACATAAGGGGGAACTGCCAATTAACGTAACGTGTACACTGTTAATATGGATATTGACATACTAAATTATAGTGCTCATATTCCGACGCGTTATTCCCTCAAATCTGCTACATTCCGATACTGCGAACACACAATGTTGCAATATCTGCGATACTTTTTATATTGACGACAATCAACACAATTACAGAACCAGACGTCGACACTTTCCCTTAATCAATACTTCACATAGTGTGATGTTACTAGACAGTATTTCACATAATGTGAGTGTTATTACAGTATTATATCTTGTCCAGCAGACTAGTTACTAGCAGACTAGTTTCTAGTCTAGCAGACTAGTTTCTAGTCTAGCAGACTAGTTACCTGTTAGAGTGAAAGCACTTGAAGGAGTGTTCCCTGAATTCTGCACAGTTCAGTTCATCACTCCTGTCTGTACAATCCTGTACTCCATCACACCACCTCCCAACACTTACACACCCTCCTCCACCACACTTCATCTCCTTCTCCTCGTCACACTCACATGGGGTGTTACCAGGGGCGTTACCATGACAACACGTGACATTGTCATGACAACACTGTTCATCTTCAGCACGTGGACATTGAGGGACTGAGTCACACACATTGGAGGAAGGAATACAGAGTCCATCACAAACGAATCCCTGTATAGTATGGCAATTTTATCATTCGACTGTGCAAACAAATTATGGGATCGGATTTTCAACATAAACTTGATCTATAGGCCATAGGGTCCCTAGTATGTAATATCTAAAAATCGGTTTTTTATAATTCGGAAAATAACAAAGCCTTCTCTATTACCATCAGCCTTTTCCCAAGGGAATCGAGTTTGAAAATTTTGTTCGTGCTACTAGGGTCCCAGTTTATGGGGATCAAGTTGTGTAAGTATTGTAACCATGGAAACCAGTAAGTAATAAGTATGTCTTAGTACTGACCTCACATTCACAGTTCTTCTCATCACTGTAATCCCAGCAGTCATTCACACCGTTACACTTTACATCTGTAATAAGGGGTAACGGTTACAGGGGTTACAAGTGTTAGAGTTGGGTAACGGTTACAGGGGTTACAAGTGTTAGAGTTGGGTAACGGTTTCAGGGGTTACAAGTGTTAGAGTTGGGTAACGGTTACAGGGGTTACAAGTGTTAGAGTTGGGTAACGGTTACAGGGGTTGCAAGTGTTAGAGTTGGGTAACGGTTACAGGGGTTACAAGTGTTAGAGTTGCTAGGGTAACAGTTACAGGGGTTACAAGTGTAAGAATTACAAGGGTAACGGTTACAGGGGTTACAAGTGTTAGAGTTGGGTAACGGTTACAGGGGTTACAAGTGTTAGAGTTGCTAGGGTAACGGTTACAGGGGTTACAAGTGTAAGAGTTACAAGGGTAACGGTTACAGGGGTTACAAGTGTAAGAGTTGCTAGAGTAACGGTTACAGGGGTTACAAGTGTAAGAGTTACAGGGGTAACGGTTACAGGGGTTACAAGTGTAAGAGTTACAGGGGTAACGGTTACAGGGGTTACAAGTGTAAGAGTTGCTAGAGTAACGGTTACAGGGGTTACAAGTGTAAGAGTTGCTAGAGTAACGGTTACAGGGGTTACAAGTGTAAGAGTTGCTAGAGTAACGGTTACAGGGGTTACAAGTGTAAGAGTTACAGGGGTAACGGTTACAGGGGTTACAAGTGTAAGAGTTGCTAGAGTAACGGTTACAGGGGTTACAAGTGTAAGAGTTACAGGGGTAACGGTTACAGGGGTTACAAGTGTAAGAGTTACAGGGGTAACGGTTACAGGGGTTACAAGTGTAAGAGTTGCTAGGGTAACGGTTACAGGGGTTACAAGTGTAAGAGTTACAAGGGTAACGGTTACAGGGGTTACAAGTGTAAGAGTTGCTAGAGTAACGGTTACAGGGGTTACAAGTGTAAGAGTTACAGGGGTAACGGTTACAGGGGTTACAAGTGTAAGAGTTACAGGGGTAACGGTTACAGGGGTTACAAGTGTAAGAGTTGCTAGAGTAACGGTTACAGGGGTTACAAGTGTAAGAGTTGCTAGAGTAACGGTTACAGGGGTTACAAGTGTAAGAGTTGCTAGAGTAACGGTTACAGGGGTTACAAGTGTAAGAGTTACAGGGGTAACGGTTACAGGGGTTACAAGTGTAAGAGTTGCTAGAGTAACGGTTACAGGGGTTACAAGTGTAAGAGTTGCTAGAGTAACGGTTACAGGGGTTACAAGTGTAAGAGTTACAGGGGTAACGGTTACAGGGGTTACGAGTGTAAGAGTAGCTAGAGTAACGGTTACAGGGGTTACAAGTGTTAGAGTTGGGTAACGGTTACAGGGGTTACAAGTGTAAGAGTTGCTAGAGTAACGGTTACAGGGGTTACAAGTGTAAGAGTTGCTAGGGTAACGGTTACAGGGGTTACAAGTGTAAGAGTTGCTAGGGTAACGGTTACAGGGGTTACAAGTGTAAGAGTTGCTAGAGTAACGGTTACAGGGGTTACAAGTGTTAGAGTTGGGTAACGGTTACAGGGGTTACAAGTGTAAGAGTTGCTAGAGTAACGGTTACAGGGGTTACAAGTGTAAGAGTTACAGGGGTAACGGTTACAGGGGTTACAAGTGTTAGAGTTGCTAGAGTAACGGTTACAGGGGTTACAAGTGTAAGAATTACAAGGGTAACGGTTACAGGGGTTACAAGTGTAAGAGTTACAGGGGTAACAGTTACAGGGGTTACAAGTGTTAGAGTTGCTAGAGTAACGGTTACAGGGGTTACAAGTGTAAGAGTTACAAGGGTAACGGTTACAGGGGTTACAAGTGTAAGAGTTACAGGGGTAACGGTTACAGGGGTTACAAGTGTTAGAGTTGGGTAACGGTTACAGGGGTTACAAGTGTAAGAGTTGCTAGAGTAACGGTTACAGGGGTTACAAGTGTAAGAGTTACAGGGGTAACGGTTACAGGGGTTACAAGTGTTAGAGTTGCTAGAGTAACGGTTACAGGGGTTACAAGTGTAAGAGTTACAAGGGTAACGGTTACAGGGGTTACAAGTGTAAGAGTTACAGGGGTAACGGTTACAGGGGTTACAAGTGTAAGAGTTGCTAGGGTAACGGTTACAGGGGTTACAAGTGTTAGAGTTGCTAGAGTAACGGTTACCGGGGTTACAAGTGTGAGAGTTGCTAGAGTAACGGTTACCGGGGTTACAAGTGTGAGAGTTGCTAGGGTAACGGTTACAGGGATTGCAATTACGGGAGTTACAGTTACTGGAGTAACATATTATATTAGGGTAGCAGTTACTAGGGTAACAGTTGCTAGAGAAATAGTTCCTCCATTTCTGTAATCAGATTGTTTTTTTCAGTTTTAAACTAATGCCAACACTACAAATCTATTTCATGTATTGGGTATAATGTTATAGAATGGAAGCGTTGTAACCAGGTGTAGCTAGTCCACACCCTATCTGCATAATAGGAAGAATTAGCTTCACTTTTAGATGAAATGTTCTGATAAGTAAAAAAATTTAAATTTCCATTATCTCCTCATTAACAAAACTCAAAACTAAACCGCAGTATCGATAACAGCCAGTACAAAATACGAAAGTCAGGATTATTATGTTTTCAGTTCAACAACTGCCAGATTTAATACTTTTACAAAATTGCAGAGCATTTAAACTGCCTTATCTCATTAAAAAACGCATTATTGATAAGACACTGCTAGTTAGTAAGAAGTGTACCTTTAGAGACGAGTAGACCAGAATCTTGGCAGACGAATAGCTGCCCTCCTGTACTATCCATCTGACAGTAATTCTCATCAGAGTTACCAGGGTTACCAGGGTTACCAGGGTTACCAGGGTTACCAGAGTTACTGTAACCAGTCCCACAGAAACACTCTATCTTATCTACACTACCATCGTTATCAGTTGTAGTGTTGCCACGGTTACCAGAACACAGTTGATGACAGTAACTGGAACTACATAAGGAGGGCGTCGAGAATGCAACAGGAATCATCAGTACCAGATCACTGGAAATATAGGTTAACATTAAAACCTTTAGAATAGTTTCAAATATAAAGTCTACAAGGTTAACATTAAAACCTTTAGATTATCTTCTTTGATACCAAATATGGGCCTATAACGTAAAACGTTGAGTTGAAACGAGTTAGAAATAATCTGAGATATATCAAAACAGTTAGATAAGAAAACGGAATAACCTGAGATATCCAAGATAAGGTAAAATGAAAGTCTCCAGCTGAGAGACAAGATCCAGGACCAACACCCCGTTAATCTTACTACCCGTGATGTAGAGAGTGTTGTTAAAAACACTCATACTCGTTACACTCACTACTGTACTCAGCGAGAGTGGGGCTAGCTGGGCACTTTGCCAGGTATTGTTGTAGGTCAGCACGTGCACATACTTCTCGTATTTATCCAACAGGTACAGTCTGCAAATAGGGGGTTTTACAGTGTTCTGATAGGTTGGTTTGTGTCACGTGGTGTGAGAACTATGCTTAGATTGGTCGGTATATGTCACGTGGTGTGAGTACTGGGTGCCTATTAGTTTTGTAGATGGCACGTGGTTCATAGAGGGTCTAACGTTCCTAAGTAATTACATTCATTATTAGGTCCTGTTTTTATGGTATTTAAAACTCTTAAACTCAATCAAGTGAGCAATATTCTCACAAAATCTCGAAGTGTGACAAAAACGAAGAATTACAGTGTTACACCTCAGTAAATGGACTATGCAGGCTAATGCTATATCACTGAACACTAACGACTGGCAAAAATATTCTCGTGATCGATTATTGAATGAGTTTTACAGAGGAGGAAATCATTGTTAGGAGAATGAACTTCTTAACACAATTAACGCATCTTTAGAAAAGAGGAAATTGTTAGTGGTGCTAGGATTTAAGTTATTAATTTGAATGAGCTTATCTGAAAGTTCCACATGACCGGCCTATGAGTGTGTTTAACCTGTTGTTTTGATCTTTAGAGAGTACAAACTGGAAACTTAGGACTGAACTGCAAATCACTGGCTAGAATTTACCAACTTGAAACTGAACAAAAAACCACATGAATTGAAATTAGACTTTAGAGAACTAACCGTTTAGTGACAGAGTCCACAGTAAATAAACAGTTAGTACTGGAGAACTGTTGGAGGGGTTGTGTTCGTGGGGAGTTTCCGTTATATTCAAACTGGTATATCTCACTCACGGAACCTACTTGCACTAACACGAACAACCACCTGGCGAGAGGGCAATTACTTTAAATCATCATAATTATTAGCTAGTTATATTAATTACTATCAAAATACATAATACAATGTAGTCAAAAATTATAAATAGCTGATATTATTGCGGTTTAAAACAAAAGCCGAAAAGGCCATAAATTAAACTTTATTGGGTATTAAAAACGAAATGTTCTATATAATCTAAAAGGAGATATTCCTTACATGTCCACTGTATCTAATTTGATGTCTCGAACTGTTTGAAGCTTCTTTTTGAAGTGTATGATGGGTTTAATGTACTCCCCCAGCTTGGAGATGTATATCGTCTGATTCAGACTATCCGTGAAGAAGAGAAAACCTGAAACAATTAGAAAGTTTATTTTCCTGCTGTACAGACTACAGGGGCTAACTTAGCCCTCATACAGGACTGGATAGGTCCAACAGGGAACCGTATTATAACAGTTCTTTATTTTAGTACTCCAAATAAAAATCGCTTTTTATCATTAAACTCAGATGATAGTCCAAACCTGTTTGTGGGTCAAGAATAAGATCGGTCACTTCCATAGTTTCAGGAAAAGATAAAAGAGTTTCACTTATTGAAGAGTCGAGGGCCTGCTTCTTCAATTCACTGAAGGTCTTTGTAGTTAGTCAATTAAATAAGACATAAGTGTTTAACAACTTATGCATTAGTGAATATCAAAAATTGATTGATTTAATGATCGTTCTAAAGAAAAAGTATCAGTGGGAATAACAACACATCACAGAAATTAACATTTTCTTACTCTCTATTTAGAAAGTAAATATGTCCATTTAGTTCATAGAACTGTACACTATCAACACTAGCACTTCTTTGAGCAAGTACTTCGTTACTTTTATCCTTGATAGCAATGATACTCTTTTCGTGAACTGCAAGCACAGGAAACCCTGCAAAGTACTCCTTGAAGTTATGGAAATTATTTGACCTAAGGTAAGTAAAACAACCATTATTCCAATTTCCTTAAAATTTTACTTTAAAATGTTGCCTAAACGTTTGTTGGTTAAAAGATCAGGGCTTTTGAAAGAGTAAAAGTTACATTAAAATTGTAGCCAGTGCATATTGTTATAATATGGGCGAAATCTCATATTTTACCAATTTGTGAAATTGCAGTAAATATTGAAAATTATAACTACAAGGCTGTAAGTGTAATTAGCTCAGAATATTGCAAAATTTGCACCTTGCTTTCATTTGATACAAATTTGACTAATAGCTGCTCTTGGCAGCAGTAAATTGTTTATTGATTTATTTCCTGACACATAAAAATCCTGCATGTTCATTAGAAGGATACAGTTTTAGAATTTTTATTTCGGTCACATTGTAATAATTAAATTAAATGTTAAACCTGTTTTGTGAACAGCTTGAGAAGAGCATGTTTGATAGATGAATACTAGCAGAGCAATCATCATATTTTTTCATAATCTATCCATTCATCCTGAAAAATGTAATTTTAAATAAAACTGATTATCTTGGTTCTACACCCACTTAAAATTGCGGTGGCAAAAATAAAATATTCGAAGACTTTATCTTCTGATAATGTAATGATGGAATATTTCATCTAGTTATATCATTGTAAAAATAAACGTTTGTTTTGTAAAAAGAAAAAGAAACTTTCTCCAACCGAGCTAACAATTCACAAATGCTATATTGTCTGTCAGTATGTTTAGATTTACATTTAATATGTCATCCCTCTGGAAGAAAAGAAGATGCACTAATATATCTAGCTCCAATTGTCTGTGTTTTGAAAAAGTGTAAAAAGCCATAGCTACCACCACATATGGTGATTTGAAACTTTCACAAATATTACATTTACAATACAGCAATTATAATTAAATTAATCGGCAACTTACACTTTACAGCCATATTGCATCAATTATGAACGTAAGACTGCATTTGGTTGATGTCAAGCATATGAGAGATTTCGAATTCTTTAAATTTTGAAGGCTCTCCAATATTACAACAGAACCCACCTCAGTCGCTGTTTGTTATAGAGATTGGGTATGATGGACGCAGTGGCGTAACTTAGGGCCCCGCAGACCCCGCTGTGCGGGGGGGCGCCGTATAAGGGGGGCGCAATTTTCCTGAATTTTAGGCCCTTTCACTGATAAAATGCCTTGTTTGTGTATTTCCCTGTCCAATTTAGCGTTCGGTCGACGCGAAAAAAATATTTGGGGTACCCTTTTTTGCTTCAGGGGGCGCAAAAAGCTGTAGGGGGGCGAGAAAAAAAGTACCCGACCTTTATTTTTTTATTTTTTTTTTTTAGGGACAAAAATTCTAGGGGGGCGCTTTTCGTCACTGAGCGGGGGGTGCCAACAGGCAAAGTTACGCCACTGGATGGACGCTTGACTACAGCTACAGACTGATCATTTAATATATATATACATGGTTCATAAATGGTTTAATTGTCATTGATCAGCTATAATAACATCATAGACTAGTGAAGACTGACAGTGGCGTAGCGTTGCCTGTTGGCGCCCCCTCCCTTTTTGGTGCCCAAATTAGGTGATTTTAGAGGATACGCCGGTAAAATCTCTAAAAAAGTGTGTATCTAGAGCAAAACGCACAGTTTTGCTAGTACTTTAGTTAAGTTTTCGAAATTGTCCCACATTCAAACGGCGCCCTGCTGCACAGTGGGGTCAGCGGGACCCTTCGTTAAAAAAATATTTACTATCTTTACTGCAGATGCTTTTATCTTTATTGTGGGGGGGGGGGGGGGGGGGGCACCCTGATTTTTTGTGAGATTTGATTTTGAGATAGCAATTGACCAACAATTGGACAGCCACGCGACGCCCATATTTGGTCCCAATTATGCCAAATCACTTTAACATGCTCAAAACCATACTTTGGGGTGCTTTGCTTGTAGCTACTAGAAGTGGCCAAATTCTAAAAGTTTGACCGCCAAATGTTTTAAAGGCCTAACTCAAAATTCCACTCCATAACTTAAGGTTATCATGCAATTCACTTTGATTCTGAAAATTTCATGAAAAAATATTGAAACCCTATTGGGTTCTATTGTTTTGAGCGAAGTCAGTTTCGCAAATATCACGAACTGAGATATGGGCGATTTTTTTCAATTTTTGCGATTATTTGAACACATAATCCACACTTAGGTAGATATTGAGCTGACAATCATAGAGAATGTGTAGTTTAGGCTTACTATACCTTTCATATAAAGTTGGTTTCATTCAAAAATATTGATATTTACCCAATTTATGAGATAAAATCTATCAAATTTGGTGCGTATTCCCAAATATGGTCGCATAGTACTTTGCTCATAACTCAGCCAATTTTAATCAAATTTTGATACAATTTTATGTCTGTGTTTAGGAGGCTAGTAGCTACAAGTAAATTATGGTTTTGAGTATGTTAAGGTGATTTGGCATAATTGGGCATAATTGGGACCAAATATGGGCGTGGCTATCCCTCGGGCATCCAGCGTCCAGAACCCTCTCAAAAGTTCGGTCACAGGCTCTAGTTTGTAGTAGAGGCTCTTACGGGCATTGTCTGCTCGATACGTTAGGGACCCCAGATACACCTTACTAGACGTATTTTTGACCGTAGAATCGATTGAAAGTGGTTTCAAGATGATTGGACTGATTGTTCTGGGGTAAAATCGCAAAAAACCGATTTTTGGGCCAAAAATAGGCCAAAAAACCATGTTTTTTGATATTTTGAGCAAGTTAATTTTGTTGGCATGTCGGCAAAACTTGCATAAAGATAGCTAAAAGACAGCCGCACAAGATTGTATAAAAATAAAACAAATCCCTCTATTTGTTCTGAGGTAAAAATCCAAAAAAGTGGTAAAAATTTTGACTTTTTTGCTTGAAGTTTGAATAATTTTTTGCAGTTGTATTAAATCAACCCAAAAATAGTCACATCGTGTTTGCCTAAATTTTTCCTTTCCGAGAAGTACCCACTTTTTATACTTTATCGAAGTTTGAATATTGTCACTCCGCAAGCGTTTTTGCCAAATTTTCGACGCGCACTACGCGCAAAAGCATTTAGTTGTTATCAATTGGCACCCGCGCGTTCATCATAAATTTCAAACAGCTATAACTCAGCGAGATTATGTCCGTTCTAGCTCATATTTTCACACTAAATAGAAAATAATGTGATCTTATTGCTGACAAAATATGAATATAATTACTCTATTTGCCTTAGAGTAATAGACTGTCAAAGTTTAAAACGCGCATTGGTATAGCACGTGACTAATAAGGCCAAATTTATACTTCTTAACATATTATTGATCCTTAGACATCATACTATTGTGTCCAATTAGCGGTTAGGTCTCTAAACTAGTAGCAGAAAACACGTCTTTTTGCCCGTAAGAGCCTCTACTATTGGTGGTCAATTGCTATCTCGAAATCAATTTTCACAACAATTTTAGAGTGAATTTCCCTCCCTGCTCCCCCTTTTACTGGGCCGCGCTCAGCCTGTCATTCCGCCTAATCTCTATTCTCTATCATATGTAAATGAACATGATAGCCTTTACCTGGGGACCTCAGGCTATCATGTTCATTAACATGAATGACAGGCTGAGCGCGGCCCAGTAAGATAAAAACAAAAATAAAGTCCCAGAAGAAAAAGAAAATTTGTAATCTAAGTAACAGCAGCTCAGGATTTTATAAAGCACATCATATATCTGATATAGGTTGACTCGCATATCAGATGCTATCATAAAAAATCACCACAAATTTTACTATTACTCGAAGGACGTACGGTATTACTTAACTCAAAGATCCGAACCTGGAACCAGGGAAATAAGTAAAATACAATTGTAAGTAAAATACAATTTTTATTTTCCACAGAAGAATCAATACAAATTAAACTATAAATATCCGATAGATTCATCAATAATCATTAAAAGTTGCTCTGTAAAATCAAAAACGAAAAGCCGTACGCTGAACGCGCGCGGCATCTTATCGGCAGCTGCCTAACTTGTAGCCGCTAACATAAAAGTTGATTCACGATGTCAATCCTTCGCATCTCGCCGATCTGCATACGTGGTTGCGAGAAGAATTATTTGATGCGCGGCGCGACCCAGTAGTGCATCGCGCTACAAACATAAAAGCCGCCGCGCGCACCAAGTGCTGGGGTGCATTCTCATTGACAATTAAACTTGGTCAAAGTTGTATCACATCGTGATCCCTTGTATCACGTGGTGACCCCCACGGTCGCTTCACTATAGCTGTCTATAGTGTAGAGTTTCGACGATACAGGGGGAGCCACGCACTCGTGCGCGGCGGGTCATACAACGTATGACAAGTTATCCCCATGGTCGTTTCACTGTAGAGTTTAAACGATACAGAGAGAGCCGCGCACTCGTGCGCGGCGGGTCATACAACGTATGACAAGATGGGCCGGCACTCGCAACCTCGAAAAGTTTTGAGTACTGGACACTATCTTCAAAACATATTATATTTGTGTGAAGAAAAGTTTCACGTCAGTTTATGATTATTGAGATCACTTCAAAACTATTTAAATACTATACTGTATACTATTATAAGTGGCCTTATCTAATTGAGACAAACCTCCAGAAGTCACATTGGTCTGGTTCTTTTCTGCAGATCAATTCTATTAAAACAATCCTGATTTTGTCCATCATCATGAAGTCTTTATGAGTTTTTTTCATGATTTTATCAGCATCATTGATCAAACCATCCTTGGTCTCTTGGTCACCAAGTTTCTTCTTCTCCATATCTTCCTCTTGGAGGTATTCTTTTAAGGCTTCACAATCGTCTGCACCAACACTGCACAGATAAATTTGTGCTATTTTAACGGCATTCCACATGAGTTTTTTGCCATCAGTTGCAGAGGGATCAGTCAAATCTTTCAGTAGAACCTTGTAGTTTTCCTTGTCAGTTGCTGCTTCTCTTTTATTAAGTGGTAGGCACTGAGCTGCTACCAAAAAACAGACAAGTACTACTATTACACACTTCATATCTATCTTTCTCTTGTAACCACACCCAGGAGAAAGCTGCCTTATTCTTTGTATTTTGTCTCAAGTATTTTACCATCTTCTACCACTCTGTTTATCTCACCGTCTCTAGACTTGTATGTTGCCCAGATAATTTGACATGACTGTATTGGATTTGCTCTAACCAGAGCCCTCTCGCTTGCAGTAGCGCGCGACCGCCGTCTACTTGTGAAACAAGCGCGTCACGCAGTACGCGTAGACACATGGCTATGTGAAGTATTGGATTTTCTGTAACATCAGTTACTGTTCTGCAGTAAGCTTTTTTTAAATAATTTTGTATTGTATATTGAAGTATTCAGATTGTTTGTATATTTGGAGTTTTATAGATTCTTATAGAAATTTTAATATTTTATGATTTGTAAACTTTATTATCTTGTATATCTTGTGGTCATCATCTATTTTTATACGTTTTGTTAGAAAACCTGCTAACATTTCTTGGATATATTCTTGTTAGGTGTATCTGCCTTATTGAGTCAGGATTTAACTTGCAGCTATAAACTCCCGTTTTTACTCCAGTCCAAGGCGAGATGCACGATCTCTACTGTCACTTAGGTATCATTTACAGCTGAGCATAAGGGTTAAATTTAAATTATTTAACCTTTTGGTGCTGTATAAAAATAACATTCATTTATTATTATTATTATATAGGGTCTCAATAAGAGGTCTCGACTGCCTAGGCCTCAAACCTTGGCAATCGGTAATTTTCCTCTGGCCCGGAGTCAGCTGACCCTAGGGACCAGAGGATAAAGGCGTAGAGACTGTGTGTATCTACAAAAGTGGTTGTTTTTACAAGAGACAGGGCTTGCAACGCAAGGGAAGAAAAACGGGAGAAACAAACACAAAATGCATATTAAATGACTTAGAAATACAAATTTAAATGACTTAGAAATTCAAATTTATTATTATTATTATTATAAATGCTAAAGCTCATAAAGTTTAAACCAAATTTTTCAGTTTTAGTCAATAATTTCATTGTGTCAACAACCACGCATTAAACCAAAATTGTTCATTGTCAATTGGCATCATGGACCAAGCCGGCCCGCGCTACTTCGAAGTTTCGTGCTTTCAAGAAAAAAGCAGCGCACGCTACTTCAAAGAAATTTACACGAGTACAGTATAATCATCCGTGGAAAATTGGTAGACTTCGCCTCGCAAATTATCATTCTTACATCGAATCGAAGTACGAATCCCTGACAAGATTGTTGCTTGTTAAATCGTCCCAACAAATTTCAATTCAGGAGGCAAAGGTGGGTACTTAAATTTCACGGTCCATGCCCTTTCTGATTTTGTATCACCCTGGGTCCCTGCATTCTTTTCGACTTATTTTTGTAAAGCTATATACCTTCTAGCAACTCTCTTGCTACTCCAAGTCCCTTAAGCACTAAGATATTTGGTATAAAGGTACTGCTAGTCATATATGAAATATATTTTTGTTCGGTTTAATTATTATAGACGGCCCCAACGTTAATGTGGCTCTTGCTATGTGTTGGTTCAGCCGAATTAATTATTATGTAATCAAGTTTATTTTTCTCTTTCAGTTAGTTGTCATCCGGCCAAACATTAAGCAACTTATATTGCAGTTCCATTTATCAATTAGTTTATCAAAATATGTCATTGTAATTTTGCATGGCTGGAATGTAACGCTTGATTTATATATAATAATTAATTGAATTTTCAAATTTTAAAAAAAATTGATATTACCTTACTCGGGAATATTATAGCGGGTTAATTTATGACTGGGAAAATTAATGACCGGGAAAAATATGGCGGAATTTTCCAAAACCCACCAAGCATCAAAATGTATTACTATTAGTTTACCTTACTCGGGAACATTATAGCGGGTTAATTTATGACTGGGAAAATTAATGACCGGGAAAAATATGGCGGAATTTTCCAAAACCCACCACTTTATCCCAGTCATAATATTCCTGAGTAAGGTAAATAAAATTTTTGTTTTCTTGAAATTGTTGTTTTCTTGAAAAGGTTTTTCAAATTTTTCTGCTGAAAACTCTGACTCATCACAGCTTGAGGCTTCTTGCTTGAAGTTCTGTAATCCAATATTAAAGTCCTGATGTGCTTCAGTCACATACAGAGCAATCAGCTGACAAACGTTTTAATAATTCCAATTTCCATATTGTCCATGATTTACTTAACTTGTATTACATGGCTACAGTACACGGTGAGCGCAGTGCAATTAAACAATTTTACTGATAAGAGAGCAACTGTTACCAATACACAAACTAAAAGGTTACACATGCTAAAAAAGAGACTATTTTATTTCTGTTTGTTAAGTAAACTAAAATACACCAAACATCTTTTTTCCAAATCTAGTATTAAATTATCACTATCGATTTCATAGCTAGTATCAAAATAAAATGTCAAAACTGTTCTTTTCTACACACTATGATGTCATTGCACAATGCACAATACAAATGTATATTGTATACTGTATAGGTACTAATAAACCAGACTACAAAAGAAGTGTTCAAGTTGTAACTTAATATTCATATTTTACTGTAGGAACGTTGTTTGTTTTCTTGAAATGCTTGTTTTCTTATTTACCCTTTTTATTTAGGATGAGGACCTGGCTGGACACTATCTTCCCACTTTTCAGCATCTCCCTCGTAATTTCTGAAAAAGGGCAACTTTTAAGTGATATGTCACAAACATTGACTGAGTCAAAACATATTATATTTGTGTGAAGAAAAGTTTCACGTCAGCTTATGATTATTGAGATCACTTCAAAACTATTTAAATACTATACTATTATAAGTGGCCTTATCTAATTGAGACAAACCTCCAGAAGTCACATTGGTCTGGTTCGTTCCTGCAGATCAATTCTATTAAAACAATCCTGATTTTGTCCATCATCACGAAGTCTTTATGAGTTTTTTTCATGATTTTATCAGCATCATTGATCAAACCATCCTTGGTCTCTTGGTCACCAAGTTTCTTCTCCTCCATATCTTCCTCTTGGAGGTATTCTTTTAAGGCTTCACAATCGTCTGCACCAACACTGCACAGATATATTTGTGCTATTTTAACGGCATTCCACATGAGTTTTTTGCCATCAGTTGCAGAGGGATCAGTCAAATCTTTCAGTAGAACCTTGTAGTTTTCCTTGTCAGTTGCTGCTTCTCTTTTATTAAGTGGTACGCACTGAGCTGCTACCAAAAAACAGACAAGTACTACTATTACACACTTCATATCTATCTTTCTCTTGTAACCACACCCTTCCTGCTAGTTGTTGTGTAAAATCATGTGGTTAGCAATACCATTATCATTGGCTAATCAAGCAAAATTAATGAGAAATGTTAGAATAGCAAAAGTCTGATCTGTAACATAAAACACAGTGAACTAATTATTGAATATTGATCAGTTTCACGTCGAAACTTATGTGGAATCCGGTTTGGATTGGTTTATTCATTGTGAAATAGGATAATTCTAGCAACCTGTATAATATGTGCATAATATATACAATGTTGTAAAACTTGGCACGCATCTTAATAGTGATATGGGCTACCAGTAGATATATTATATACCATAATTATGTCCACCCAAAATTATGTCATTAACGGTTATGTCCACCCGACAATGCAAGGTGTACAAAAAAACGTGTAATAAGGTGCTCGTTGCTACTTAAGAACGTGTCACATCGGAGCAAGAGCTGGGGTTGAGCACAACAATCACAATCTGTTCTTTGAACATCATGGAACGCTGTCACCCTTATTGATGACTCAGACCCTTTCCTTTGCTTCATTGAATCTCTCGGAGTTAGAGTGTTTAGAAACTTCTTTTTCAACGCTTCTAATAAACTATGCCTGTGCTGCTATCCTCATGTAATAGAAGATGAAAGAATTTTGTCCCAAGCACTGTAGTTTGACTAACATTGTAGCTCAATTATTGTCAACTTTAAGAACAATAGTCCCTAGATACACACTACACTCATGAAGATCACCTCAAACGTTGATTTGTTTTATTGGGCAGGCGTGTAGGACTGATATTACTAGAGAAAACGTTCTAGCAAAACTTGAACGATATTCTTTAAATATAGATTCATCAATTTCATGACCCATACAACAGAAGATAGATCTCTGCACAATATTATTATTATATTACAGAACTGCTGTTCACCTAATTACAGGACACTGCTCATTCATACCATTTGCAAATCAAGCACCAGTGCATATTATAGGTTTGCCCAGCTATTGCTGAACTAAGAGGGCAATACGTTTAGGATTATAGATGTGGATACTGGCGGGGAGGTGATAATTGTTTGTTTATGTTTTAGGTGGCGCCTCTATTCAGCAGGTTGAAGAGGTGATGCAAATTTTGTATTATAGAACGCTTGTAACACTTGTAACTCCTTCTTGTTACCCCCTTCGAAGGTCCCTAATTATTTTCTGAACAAAGGCTTAAAAATAACCGAGAAATCGACCTTCTTATTAAGGCCACAGGGGGGGGGGGGGGGGGGGGGGGGGGGGGTCCGAGGTCAATTTTGAGATTTTGAGATATGTTGTAGAGCTCAATCTAAATTTTCAAATGCTTTTGTCCTTACCGAAAACAAAGTTTCCCATCTGAAGATATCGCGCTTTAAATTTTGAGGTTTACCTGTTATTCTATTGTAAATGAAAACTTTAAATGAAATTGTATTCAAAATCTATCTTCTTTTACAGTTTACGACTTGGAACCTTGTAACTTGGCAAAAATGTTCTTCAAGGTATTTTGGGTTTTTGTTATGTAACGATTTATGCTTTATGATATCTTGCTCCAAAGCTGAGATATGAGGTTAACCATGAGTGCGGGTTACAAAATTTACAAAATTTAAAATGGTTAACGTCATAAAAAGAGTTAGGAGCAAAATAACAACAATCGTTACATAACAAACTTTTAAATTTATGTCAGTAACATAAGTTCCAAATTTAAGGTGAAATGGATAAAAACTCTAGGAGAAGATAGGTTTTTGAGGTGGTAAATAAATTGTTCAGGAGAGTCAAAAGACTGATTCTGAGAAAATATGTTAACCTCAAATCTCCAACAAATTAAGGACATATAATAGTTCTGTTCACATTGGATGGCCAATTGATACCCATTGATAAGTTTAACTTGTGATGAGAGCAACAAAATGTTAAGAACTGGTTATTTGTGAGGTTAACTGATTAAAAAGGCAATAGTTAACCTCAATTTTACGACAAACTAGGCGCTCTGGGGGGCTAAGGGTGGTGTGCAAGCGTCAGATAGTACGTGGTCTGCCAACTGGCAAAAAACGTTTTTTCGACCTCGGACCCCCCCCCCCCCCCTGTGGCCTTAACTCATGATAATGACTGTTTCTGACCTAAAATTGCACGAAAAATCGATTTAACTTGGTTTCAGAACCTATAAACACTTCCTCATCCCTCAAAATGAATGTTTTATATAGTTAATACGAGCAACAAGCAACATATATTTTGATCCTTCGGTTCTACTCATGACCTAGGGCCTAGGGAGTTAAGCTGAAACCGAAAGATCGAGGCAATCGTCACCTTAACTGATCGAACAGGTACTAACACAATTTTCAGATAGAAATGTTCGTTGCAATATGTTTATTGCAGCTTTGCAACTTGAGTGAAGAGCAGTCAGCAGAGTACGAAAACACACAGCCCCAGGTCAAGATTCATGTGAGATTGCGAGACAGGCTCATCGCACAAAATCTTAAAATAAACATAGAAAAAAATTAACAAAAGAATGTGTGAGAAAATAGAAAAATGTAATTTAAAAGATTTAAGCGACACAAAAATTTGCTTAAGACTTTGTAAATTCGGAACTTAGTGCGGTGTGAGATCACGTGGTTAAAGTATAACAACTTTGCCGCGCGCAATTAGTGCGAGATTTTGACGAGTTTAGTATAAATCTCACCCCAATATCGCGAGTTTAACCACGAGATTTCGGCACCCTCTTTCAGCACTACATATCCGGTCGCGCGCTTACATTTTCATAATAATATTCCTCATCTTGCTGGTCCCTTCGTCTTTATCATCAAGCCGACTTTTTATGGTCATTGTACTTTTGGTATTGATTGTTTTGAATTATTACTGGTTGTGTTACTCTGACGGCTTACTTTTCTGTACTGTCTAAGTCTTAAAGGATACTAGTTGTTGTCGATATTAATCGGTTTATAAGATCAAGATTAACAGTGGTTACTATAGTTACCATGGTTACCATTAAAGGAGGTCTGGTAATGGTCGAAATCTCAAGGTACTGTTCCTGGCTAAAGTCGACTCGATCTTTCTCAGAGTATTCTTAATACTGCCATAGGCAATGCCTATTAGGCATAGTGAATATTTCTTCATTAAAAGTTAGAAAAAGGGTCTTTTCAACTGTAGAACTGACTTATTAATCCTAACAGGTAATTAACTCTGGATCCTCATCACATTGATTCCATTCTAAATTCTAGCCTTAAAACAAAACAAACATTACCAGATAAATCCGTTTACCATAATTTGACAATTGACATGTTCTAGTGCGAACGAGGCCTTCCCCGGACAAATCCTTAAATGCCAGTCTTCTCTAGCTGAAGTACGAACAGTATAATTTATAGGATAAAGTATATTACAAGGTGCTCTGATGATAATTTTAGTAAAATAATTAATAATTGCCAAAAAAATGACCGTGGACGAGGTTCGAACCGGAGTCAACTGCTAAGCGATCGCGCTCTAAACCATTGTGCTACAATGGGCATAGAAGATTTACAATATGTAACTCTATATACTTCATAAAAATATGCACGTAAATTTTCAAGCGACATAAAGCGACATACTTACAATTTCGCTCACAAATGGACTCGCGAAATCTGAAATCTTTTTAAATAGAGAATAATTTGTGGGGCAAGAAATCTTGCAGGCTGGGTAGGGGGGGGGGGGGGTGGGGGGGAGTACATTTCGCCACTGCACGTGACACGTGAAAATCGCACTTTTAGTCTCAAAATCCAATCTCATCGCACTTTTTTTAGAATCTTGATAGGGGCACACAGCAGGTTAGCAACTCATTTTGGTGACTGTTTCTCACCTACCATTGTGCGAGACATCGATTTAAGTTGGTTTCACAGCCCAACAACACTCAAAATTCATGTTTTACTCAAGCAAAGAACATTTTGATTCTGCGACGAAAGAACAAGGATATCGTCTCGTTAACAACTCAAACAGGTACTATCACAATTTTCAGTCAAAAGAAACACTATAAAGGTAGGTAACCAACACCATGATATATAACAATCATAATAACAACTCAATAAAACAATAAGTTTGTGTCGTGTCAAGTGACGCCGAACTGTCCACTCACAAACAGGAAGAGTGAGCAGACGGATATTATATATTATATCGTATGTTTACTTTTCTTATCAGTATTTGACCCTCTGTTCAATTTGTTATCTCTACTACAGCTTGGCTCGGCAATTTCAAGGTGCTTATATCTGTACCGCGGTACACACGCCATGATGACGTCATGAACTAGAAATAGTTGTACAGAATACAAGTCACATTCACATTTCACATACTTGAATTAACATTTTTACCCTAATTTTGATAGCTTTGAGCAACTAAAGTTCGTGGCTTTCAAGTGTCACCATACTCTAACTACACTAGCGAATTTTATAAATTCATAAGGGAAAGCCTACAGGAGGACATGACATTTAGGGTTAAGTTTGACCCAATTTCCCGAGCTTATCACGTTCTACCATGTGTCAGGAGCCGTTGGGACGCTTAATGTAAATAGTCCACCCCGGGTTTGACCAGGTGACATTTTAATCCACCACTGTAGTATTGGTTGTTATCTATCATAACAGTGACCTGTTACTCTGGTCGGCACCTCTTCTGCATCTGCATGAGGTCAAATGAGAAACTGAGAGGGTGCACGTGAACGCTAACAGGGTGCATGTCAGCATGTATGACCCATGAAGCAAATTCTTAGTTGCCTGTTTAAATTCCTTCCTCATTTATCGTTTTAGTTGAAAATTCCTTTTTGAATCAATCTTCAGTCAGAACTTTAAACCAGGGGAAGCGATCCATAATTAGCATCCGTACGGCAAATATAAAGTGGTGTGAAGAGTTTATACACACGTTCATCAAGTTATTTTGTTACACACAATGTTTATCTTCTTTGTTAACAATAGCTTCGTGATGTTATAAGGAGAATATTTCAACTAATATTAAGATTCGCTGAGACCTATTGACGGGGCATGTTTTACATTTTCTTATTCTTCTGCTGG